ATTAGAAACCAGATTGTGTTATTTATTCATTTTTTTAATAACGGTCATACTGTAGTGAACGCGAACTTACGTAGGGAAGACCAATATATTGTTTAATTCAAAATGACATAAAAGTTTAATTAAATATGAAAACCATACGTTAAATATATAAATTGTCCATTTTCTATCATTTGTCCTTTACAAACTTTGTGGTTCTTTCAATTCTGTTGTTATTTTAGTTACTCTTTAATTTTCTTTTTGTTCTCTTCAATTTAATCTTTTGCTACCAGGCATTCAATATTCAATCACGAATACATACTACTTATATATATCGACTCAAGTAACATACATCACAATATTATGGATCTTAAATATTCACAATTGATTGATCACTGGGTGATGACCAATGTCATGTGTGTCAAGTTCTTCTTAGTGTATATCGAATGCTATCGACCAAGTTGCATTTTGGTCACTAGTCTAGGTAAACCAACATTACGTGCACTATGTTGAGATTAGATGGTGCACCACGTCTCTCGAGATTACAGTACACCTTGTTGACGAGTGCCAAGTACCACTAAACACGGATCCAGGGTTTCCTATTGACTACCTCCAACCACCATTTAATCTTAAATATTCCTCAATCAGATTATATAATTGAACTATTGCAATATTTAACGCTTAATTAATCATGTTTAAATATTCTATTGCATGATATAATGATTAAAGTTAATTCAAGGTAAAAAAAATACTCAAATGACCTCGAATATCTATTCAATGTCCTTCTTTGTATTCCTACGGGAAACATACTTTCAAAAGACCATCATAATACAAAAAAAAAATAAATAAAAGAAAGTGAAAAATTATTTTTAATGGTGTTGTAAACAACAAGCGACTAATTAAAATTTCGTTTCTTTTTTTCTTTCTTTTTTGTTTTTGTTTTACTGATGATGACCCCGAATTTATTACTGATAAAAACTGTATCCATTGATATAGTTATTAAGAGATGTAATATTTAACTAGAATCAGCTTTGGATACCGGCTCAATGGATTGGAGGTTAAGCGTTAGTGGGTGAGACCGATAGTCCCTGGTTTCGAATCTCGCGGCGTGGGATTGTGGATGCGCACTACTAAGGATTCCCATACTAGGACGAGTTGGCCATCCACTGCTTGAAGGTTTTCCATGATGGTCTAACTTCAATTGACTCATGATTTCAACTATTGAAATCACTAAAATTTCCACAAAACCCCTTCTGATTTTTTTAAAGAACCATACATAATGTTACATGGAACATTTGCATAGAAGTATATTATGTTTATATAAGATTATTATTATAAGAGAATCAGACGTAATGGTACATTTGTTCTTTTGTTTTAAAACGTTAACATTTGGTAAACAATCATCTTATGAATAGAATAAGGAAAAATAAAACATTCAATATACTACTTTTGTTTATTTATAAGAAAGATATGGTATTGTATTGTAAAGAGATGGATTGAAAGAGAATAACAGATGATTATGTAAAAACATATAATTAGTTGAATTAACGATGTGGATAATGATTTGATATTTCTTATTGTACATATTCTTCAGTTTAGATGTAAATATATATTCATTTATGTATGAACATTAAGTATAGGATATGGCAGATTCATTCAACGGATGAGCTGCAAATAAAATAAGAGGCATGTCTTAGATTCTACAGTCGCGTACATTATATACATTATATCGCCTGTTACTCCCACTGGAGCATAGGCTGTCGACCAGCATTACGTACATTATACCTATATCAAATAAATTATATTAGATACATTTATGAGGTATTTTTACGCTTATTATCGGATTTGTCTTCACCTTTTTTATTCGTACTCGTGTAAATCCCTTGATCAATTTTATAATCAGTGCATAACCCATTTTACTAAATTCTTACTCGAGCATTCATTAATCCTCTTTATAACTAATTTCGCTCATAAATTTTGTCATCGGCTTCGAATCGATAGGTAATTTTAATTTTGTTTGGGTCAGTCAGCCACAATCAACACATAGTCTGGTATAAATATATCGAACTGGTCTAGAGCTTAAACATTCGCAAGCGAGATAGGTCACGGGTTCGAGTTCTGTGGGCAGAATCGTAAAATGCACACTACTAAGTAGTTCTATACTAGGATGAAACTGCAGTCTAGTGCTTTCTGGTTTTCAATGGTAGTCTAGCTTAGAGTGACTAGTGAATTTAACTGTTAAAATACTACAAACTCTACACATTTCTATACTGATATCTAATTGAATTTCTCAAACTATAGCAGCAAAATTAAAGGAAATTTACAAGTTGCTTAACTGCGATGTCAAAATAATAATATTGTCAAGTATAATAGGAAAGACTAAATATTTAAGGATATAATACAAAAAGATATGTATACATATGTGTTAAAGTAGTCCATTGTTATTGAATAATAATAAACAGAATTCAGAGGAAACTTTCTTTTCGATGAAATCATTTACTTAAGATGTACATTCGTATTTACAGTTTACGTAAAACTTTATATATATATATATATATATATATATATATATATATATATATATATATATATATATATATATATATATATATATATATATATATATATATATATATATTTATATATATATATATATATATATATATATATATATATAGGTGTATGCGCACGAAAATCATGCAGTTCACCTGACTGCTCGTTTAATTCAAAGCAGTTGAATACTAAGACCTTTCATAATTAAATACCAGACCAGCATTTATGGATAGATGCATACAAGATGTTCATCTTGGTTGGTGTATACTTACAAAACACAAGGACCTGATAATAATAATTGTAATATAAAATATCACACTGGACGTAAATGTGAACGAAATATTAAATACATAAATAGAATATTTTATCTTATTATGGGACTCAGTGTGTATCGACGGCTTACCGCGAATGCACCCTAGGTTTGTTGGTTGAGCAATGTCGCTAATTGACTGAAGTTAGACCAAAGATAAACCAAAGGGTGTTCAGAAGTTAAAAGGTTGTCACAACCAAAGATCCTATATTTGATACTCACTGGGGTGATGGATTTCCATTGTTAAAGAGTTTCATATTAGGATAAAACAGCCGTCTAGTACTTCTTGATTTTCAATAGTTTTCAAAATAAGAACATCCCATGATGCAAACAATAGATTTTAACAATATAAACAGACACTTATAGCTATTTTTAATGGTTAAGATCATGAATCAATTGAAGCTAGACCACTATAGAATATGTGGTACTCTTCAGTAGTGCGTATCCACAATCTCGCTTCACGAGATTTGAACCCAAAACCTATCAGTCTCGCGTACAAACGCATAACCTCTAAACCACTGATCTGACCGACATTCAACGATGTTAATGTTTAACTTTACCTAATTCACAAAATCAAGCGACACATCCACTATTGTCTTCAGTGTGTGAGTTACTATCTCACAACAAACCCAATTGAACTCCACTGGTCACTGCTTCTCACTAGAACTCCAGGATATATATCTTGAAGTCAGTCACTACTGAGCATATGTTGATTAGTATCAAAAATAGTTTTGTGGAGATTTTAGTTATATCAGTAGTTGAAATTATAAGTCAATTGAAACTTTTCCATAGTGGTCTAGTTTCAATTGATTCATGATCTCAACTATTAAAATGACTAAGCTCTCCACAAAACCCCTACTGATACTGTTAAGACCCGAGTCATACCCAGTAGATTAATTATTGCTTGATATGATGGAAAGAAAAGTCAATTTTCGATGGAATTACTCATTATTATGAGTTTTATTGAATATTACATTCATTTTGATTCAACATGAGGATCGTTTAATTGTTTTTCCAGTATGATATTTTCTTTTGTATAATATACGATATTCTTGCATTCACTTGACATGAACTATGCTCATTAAGTGATTTGTTATAATTGAGTATGTGATCTAATCCTAATTATTAATCAGCATGGGTGTACAATCAATATATAAATCAGTGTATTTTAGACTATATTCGATTCATTGTCGTCACAGTGTTTGGGGCTAATAAATCTTCACTTATACTAGTCTTGTGTCCTTAATTTCACATCGCGGGAATTGCCATGGTCCCTCGTTCCGAATATGAATGACCAGCGCTTTTTTCCGGCACAGCAATCAACGACGACCAAACACAACAGATACTTACAGTGTTATATGAATTCAATTGAGTGTCAACAAAAGAAGAAAAAAAAAGAAAAAAGAAAGAATGAGCATAACTTCATTTCATAAACAGATTTACTTTCAGAAAAATATTTTAAAAAAAAAACACAATTTCAAAATAATAACAAAGAATTTCTTTCTTTCTTGTCTAATATTGTTTTGTGAGTATGTTTTAATGTATATACCACCATTATGTATGATAATGTATGTATATAACCATAAATGCATCTGTTTGTGATCTCATATCCATATAATAATGATCATAATCATAAGACAGAATTGAATATTACATAATAGATCATTAGAAATGACAAATAATATGATATAACAACAAGTATTATAACAGTTAAATGAACACAGATACACACACACACACACACACAAATAAACACTTAAAAGATTGTCATATGTAATCATCCAGTTGTATAGGAACAAGGAATTATGTCATCATCATCATCATGTGTATATATAGATCTGGAGGTAGAAAAATTCAATGATTAAGTTATCAAATTACACTGATCTATTAACTAATTATACATAAATGGATATTCAATTAAGTTTTGTACATAAATTGGTTCATGATTTCAATAATTTATTGAAATGAATTTTCATAATAGATCTTCTTTAAAACTGGATCTTAATGTACAATAATAGAAAAGAAAAGAAAGTATTTATATGTTTCATTGAAATATTCTTCATCCAAATTCAATGTGATATTCCTTGTATATCTTCTTGATAAAGTGTTTGACTTATGTATTAAAAAAATACCAACATCAGATTACATGACTTATCATGAGTTAATTTGATTCATCGTTTTTACGATTCACTGGAGGAGATGCTGAATAACCTTTAATAGGTCTGTTAAAAAAAATGAAGTAAAAACAAAAATAAGAGAGGAAATATCTTTTTTACCAATATCTTTTCCCGATCATTTAGTAAAGAAAAAAAAAGAAGCAATATGCAATTAATTTTAGTAGTTGAGATCATGAATCAGTGAGAAGCAGTGACCAGTGGAGTTTAATCAGGTTTGTTGTGAGATAGTAACTCACACAATGAAGACAATGGTGGATGTGTCGCTTAATTTCGTGGATTAGTTGAAGTTGGACATTAACACCATTGGATGCCGGCCGGCTGAGTCGTCTAATGGTTAGGCGCTCGCTCACGAGACTGAGAGAACCTGGGTTTGAATCCCGCGAGACGAAATCGTTTATGCGTACTGTTGAGGAGTCCCACAATAGGATGAGACGACCGTCGAATGCTTGCAGGTTTTCCATGATGGTCTAGCTTCAGTTAACTCATGATCTCAACCATTGAAATTTCTATAGTATTCACAAGACCCCTTCTAATATGCATTTATTTAGTTAATTAGATAGTTCGGCGAGACTATAATTTATGGATGAATTAATCAGATATAAGATAACGAGTCAAGAACTTTGGCGCAAAATTCTTCCATGCATTTGGTTAAATAGAGTTTTGTTATCGTAGCTGATGTCAGTTCGTGATAAAAACCCCAGATCTAATTTTTAACCCTGACCATCAAGTGTAGATGAGAATTCTAATTGCTTTATAACCCTCATTTAGTCCTAATCAGTAGGTCTCCATTCTCAAGGTCACTTTAGCGTCGTTCAAAGGTCGTTCATAAATTATGGTCGCACCGATAGTTCAAACCAGAAAATTTACCAGTTTTATTAAATAATTATTGTATGAAATGTAAGTATTATCTTTTGATATTCTTGTTTATAAGTTATAAGAATTCTGTAAATATATCAAGCATAAATATAAATATTCGTAGAGGTAATTGAGATCACGAGATCTACTTATGTAATAGATCGTTTTATCCACCACTAGATGCAGGCATGCGCAAGATCATGGATCAATTGGAGTTAGACATTAATTTAGTTGGATGCCGGCTCAATGGTCTACAGGTTAAGCATCTACGGGAGGGACCGAAGGTTCGAGTCACTCATGAGTGGTCGTGGATGCATACTGCTGAGGAGTCCCACATTAGTACGAAACGTCCGTCCAGTACTACCACGTTTTCAATGGTGGTGTAGCTTAGATCGACCCGTGAATTCAAAATGAAAATACTACAAACTCCACAAATTCCCATACTGATCATCATTTTTTTACTATTACAATCCATAACTTGAATCTTTGTTATAAGTTATCAAAAGACGTCAATGGAAGATTAAATGAAGAGTTGACAATCAATGATTTGTCATAACTCAAAGAAAGTAACTCTTGATTAAAAAATTATTTATTAACAGATTATACCACTGAAAGTTATCTACAAAATTCTTGGATCATTTACATATAAGATCAAGTGATCGATACTCAATGAAAAGTAAACAATAATAATAATAGTAATAATAATAGACACCAGTACACTATCAGTGGAACGAAATAGTAACAAGTACATGAACAAGATGACACAGAAGTAGTTACTAGTCATGAATGGTGAACAAATGCTCAGTTTCGTTAAGCTTCTGTGAAAGGATTATCAGTGTTACGGTAACTTCGTAGAACATTTTAAACGGTGTGAAAGAGATATGTTTTGGACTTTATATTTCATATGTGTGAAATATATCGTAAAATGTTGCATTCAAGAAGATAGTCCTAAGGACGACGACACAAGTTTTTCAAAACTCTTCTACGACAGGAGATTAAAACGCTGAAACCTTTACTTTTCATTTTATATTAGAATCCGAGGTGAAGTTACATTGCCACTCTGTATCTTAGATAATGATTAAGCTATATTAATATTTCTCATATTTTCATTCTATTTCATCTCTGAAACAAAATGGTTTGAAAACTGTGATTAAATGAATTCAGGGTGAGATCAAGTTTATCTCATTGAGTAATGAACGATTGGGACACTTTACACAAACATCTACTATCAGCTCCATAGGTGAACACATTCAAAGAGAAGCCGGATCTTTACTATAAAAATTAGTTCACATCAAAGGACTTATTTATCTTTATTATCTTTATTTATTCATCTAGATTATTTGAGGAAAGTCAGTTTTAAAGTGGTAATATTCCTTAGAGGTAGTCTTTCTTATTTAGAAATGAAAACAGTACTAATGTTTTTACGTCTTTATCTAGATCCTTTCATGACAGTTAACTTTGTCTATTTAAAAAATGTAAGAAACAGTGACTTACTCATAAATTTAAACTTGAATTAACAACAAATTAATATAAATAAAACCAAAACGAACGTTGATGCAGAATAGTATGAGTTGATTATATTTGGTAGTTTCTCATCAACTGCTTACAACCAAATATATATTAGACGTTTACATTGAGGTAAGATATAGTTTGGAACAATTGACATAAGTGAATATAAAGAATTGAAGGGGAGTGAAGCGACGTCAGGAGATGCAGTCTCGTGGTAGCTGATGGCCAGCGATTGGTTCATACACCAATTGTTCCTTTAGGATACTGGAGCCCATGTACACCATTGGTTTGGAATTAGGGTTTTCCAACTTCACTAGGTGGATCTTCCATATCCACCAACCCAGTTAAATTGCCGGACATTCGCTTTTTGTCCTTTCTATTTTGTAAACAACACCCGTTGTACTGGAAGGCGGTGAGTAGGATTTACTTGGCAGTGGTTGTATGCACGTGGCAATGTGAGGACATTTCGAGAGGGAGAGCTGACTCTCCTTACTCTCGGCCGTACCAGGGCATTTGGGCGCAATTCTTTACATTCACTTATGTCAATTATTTCACACTATATCTTACCTCAATGTAAGATTCTAATGTATATTTGGTTGTTAGCATCTGATGAGAACCCATTAGGTATAATAAATTCATATTATTCTGCATCAATGTTCGTGCTGGCTTTATTTAATTTCATAAATGGAACTAATTGCATGAAATTACTTTCTATATGGTCCTATAATCTGATTCATTTAAGAACTATACAGCATATCGTACTACATTCTTTCTTATTCTACTTTTCCGATTTATCAATGTGTTAATATTTTAACTTTTCAACATAATAAGGATAATAATAATGATAATTGATCATTGGAATTTTTCAATTATGAACATTATCAAAATTACGAAATAGCATGGATACTATTAATGGTGTAGGCTGAATACAAGCAACTATAATAAATCATTACACCGATACTGATATGTGAAACCAATATCATACAATCGAATTATTCAATACTAGTCCGTAAACAACTCCTGTTTTAAATACAACTGTTATATCTAGAGCTTAGATTCTTAATATATTGTGTATAACTTGAGCACCAGAATTCTAGAATACTCACAAGTCGTAAATGAGAAGACAGAGAACAATTGAAAGGAATGCTATTCCTAGCAGTGTCAATTATGGTACAAAACTGTCAGGTATTTATAGTTTTTAGTAGAAACGAAATCATTATCATAGCCCTCTAATCCGCATACAGGGGGTTATTGACATTTGTTCAAAAGGAAAGCTACATTTAGGGATTCTGAAATATTATTTCAAAAAACGATTGGATAGAATATCTTCAGTTGTTTCTGAGCTTCTTAGCGTTGATCAGTGCGCCGTCCTCACAACAATATGAAAAATGTGTCTAACCTTTAGTCAGATATACCAATCTCTTGCCATTTGGAAATATTAATCATTTCAGGTAAACCATTTTTAGTACTTAAGCATGGTATTTATATACATATATCTGCTTAGCAACCAATAACGAACCGTTGGTTAAGTTTAATATTCAACGTTTTACAAACACATGTTAATTGACTGTTATTTTAAAACTGTTATAAGTAGTGTAAACCTTTAACAGTTTGAACATAGAAGTTATTAATTAGTTCCTACTTATTTATGAATAATTGTTTTTGCTCAAAATAATAAGATTATTTTTGTTCTCTTATTTCTACCATTTGGTTTTAGATTTTCTAAATGAAGACTAGGAAATGGACAGGAAACTTATAGGATAAGTTCTATACAGGTTTAACACTTGTCAGTCAGGTTTTAGCATTACTGAGGAAACTTCTACTAGATATCAGGATCAGATAAGATAATGTTACATTATCGCTTTGCGATTAAATGTTGTAATTATCTCTAGTGTACAAGCGATTAATTGAAACATCTCTAGTGGTGAGACGAAATGAAGTATGATTTTATCTCACAGAAAGTATTAGATTTCTCTGGATTATTGATATATCTTCCTGAAATGTGTAAGCTTAATCTCTTGTTTGTTGTCAGTCAGTTTAACGACTTAACATCAAATACCGAACCTCCTTATTATGTCACATAGTCTAGTGACTATATTACTACTAGATCGACAAAATTCATCCTCATGAAAGTGGATTAAACAATGTGATATTATAAGCAAAGATGGATAGTGGCTAGCAGTGGAATCCAGGACACGCGTTTCGTCCTGTTTGGGACTCGTCATCTGGATGTACCTGCATCTCCGAGTTGATGTTCACTCTGGGACTCGAACTCAGTACCGTTCGCTTCAAACGCCATCGCTTTATCCACTTAGCTACTGAGTTCTGATAGCCACTTACTTGTGCAATGGGATGAAGTGAATGTGATATTAGTTACTTGAATAATTTCTAAGTTGCATTCATTCTTTTTAAAAAGAACTGACTTGTTAAATAAGGAGATATATGACATACTAACCTTTTATTAATCAAATTATTTAATTTAGAAGAATCATCACTAATATTCATCTTTGACAATAATCGATCTGATAAATCATAAGCACTTTCTGCTGTTATATCTAATGGTAAACTTGCACAAGGAGGATGTAATATTGGTGATAATGGTGGAGAAAATTGTACTTGTCTTGTCATTTCATAAGGAAATTCATTATGTTGTGTAACACGATCAAATAATAATAAACTAGGTGGTGAAAATATTGGTGCTACAATTTGTTTCTCTGTTATTGATGTCATTTGTATATTTGTATTTGATGAATTCATTGTTACAGAGGATGAATTAGTTATATCAATAGAATCAGAATATTTATTATTCGATATGTTTACTGTAGCAAAATTTGGATCAAGACTATGCCTATTACGAATGATATAATCTGGATTTTTATTATGCAATGATAAAATATCATTTGATCTTATTTTATTATTATTGGAAATCGATTCATCCGATGAATAATCAATATTACCAGATAAGGTATTACATGGTTCCGAATTCTTAATATTCATATTACTATCTGGTGTATTAACAATAACAGTATTATTATTTACTGTTGCATCATTTGCTTCAATATTAGTTATCTGTGATGTAACCATGGTATTGATGATTTCATTTGAATGATCATCTTCTTGTGAATGATTATCACCTTGTTCTTGATCTTGTTGTTCTAATTGAATTGTTTTAGATTTAGTTAATTTTTTCAATGATTGTTCTACTATATTCTTTTTATCAATCATATTTGTTTCATAGAAATTAGTTGATTTCTCATTTGTATCTTTGATACTTAATGTTAAACTAGTATTTAGATAATCATCAGCTATAGATGTTTGATTAGGTAATTTATTTTTAGCATTAATTAATTTACTATGCTTATTTGTATGTTGATCCATATCAATACCGTATAATTTCCGTTTTAATTTCTCTTGAAATGCTTGTTGACTATTACGTAATTTTTCAATCCATCTTTGCTATAAGAATTAAATAATAAGAATAATAGTAAAGTCTAAAAAAGAAAGTATTTGGTTAACGACATCATATAAACTGAAATAGATAGTGTAATGGTTGGTACATACCAATCCCATTTAGGTTATTCTAGACCCTGGACAGATTAATCTCTTCATTCTTTTTAAACAATATTACGAACTTGTTGAATATTCGCTTACTAAGCATGACTTTTTTTAATGATCGTATGTTGGATGCCGGCTCAGTGGTCTAGTGGTTAAGTGCTCGCGCGCAAAACCAGTAGTTCCTGGGTAAGATTCTCGCAGGGGGCGAGGTCGTGGATGCGCACTGCTGAGGAGTCCCATACTAGGACGAAACGGCCGTCCAGTGCTTGGAGGTTTTCCATAGTGGTCTAGTTTCAATTGACTCATGATTTCAACCAGTGAAATTTCTAAAAATCTCCATAAAGCTCATTCTGGTCGTATGTATGTTAATTACCTGCTCTATTCATGATATTTCTGTAATTTAATTTTGTTTGAATATAAATATTAGGTCACGCTTGATTAAAACAAGTTGGCTTATTCGTCTTCTCTATTGCGCATTACTATGTCTTGTTTTGTTTCGTTCTCTTCACTTGGTTTCTTTTAATCTCTAGTTGGATCAATAAGTGTATGAAATATACGTATTCAAAATGTGATCTTCTATTCGACTTACTTTATTCCATTATTCTCTAATATGAATGAAGTTGATAAAAATATACAAGGATTGTCGATATGTATATATATCATGTCACTAAAATGGTCTACAATCGATAATGAAGATGATATGATCGAAAAAGTCATGATTATACTTATACTGAAAACGTTTTGGATTATTCATGTGTCGTTGTTGTTGTTGCTGTGTTAGACTGAGTTATCACACCTAATACTTTAATATTCATTTCTGCTACAAACATACCTCAATGTACATATCTCTTTTCTCTTCACATCTTTACAAATTAAATTTACGAATTTACATTAGTTTGGCCGTATATATATTTATTTATCTAGTGTTATGTCCCGATGAGTATGATGAATGGTAACTGTTGGGATCCTTTTATGGACTAATACTATATGTATATTTTATCGTATAGTTTATAAGTAACTAAACTATTCATTTTCCAGTTCCTCTGATTATACGATTTATTTTGACTTATGAACTATTATTATACGATTTACTATTCTTGAGTTCTGCTCAGTCTATTAATAACAGTCTCCCATATTCACAGTGACTTTTGGCTCGATGTTGTACAAATGGTATTTTCTATTTTATGGTGTGATGTGGTCTGTTTGGTTTGCATATAAACGTAGTATGTTTGAAATAACTGATTTATATCGTAGAGGCTGAGATTGGTGTTCTGGATATAACAGGCAGAGCTAGGCAGGAAGAAGGACCGATAAAGACTCAAGTCTGCTCGTATGAGTTTAATGCGTCATTAATCCGGTCGATAATTCACTGTTCTCTAATTGGCGATATCATTTTAAAAAAAGCTACATAAACAAACTAGAGTTAAATAAATTAGTGTAGGAAGTTTGTGGGAATGAATAAATTTCATGTATTATAATAAGAACATCACCGGTTTTCTAATGAATGTTTAAGAATGATCGAATAGAAGTTTGATTGAAGATTAAAATGATTTCTTTGGAAAACCATTTCAAAATATTCAAATTGAAGTGCATCGAATTATCCCGTTGTTGATATTTTGACTGGATTTTCATCAGTCTTGGTTGTCATATATGTACCCTCTGCGGATTGCTTAGATACAGCGATTATAACATAATTGAGTATAAAAATGTATGGAATATGGCTAGCAGTAGAATACAGAACGTGTGTCTCATCCTACTGAGACTGCTTGCTTTCATGTATTCAAATCTATACTGCCAAAGGATAAATTTCTTTCATATTCGAGAGTTGACAGTAACACATGTACCCAGTCTTTAAATAGATTTGTAGGATTTCGTAGAAGAAATTTCACTAATAGCATTGGATAATGTATGCCGAACAGCTTCATACTAGGAAGAAACCGCAATCCAGCATTTCATGATATTCAATGGCATTTCAGTTAACATAAAATGTAAATTTCAGTCTAAATTTATCACCTGAATCTACCTCACTAAAATGGGTAAGATAACATAATGAGTAATTGATTGTATGAGTTAATATTGGAAGATAAGTAATGGACATACGGTTGAAACACTCATCCGTTATTACGATCTGAAATAAGAAGTGATTAAGAACATGGGAACGCTTTGTAATGACTTTAAGCATTTTATCAATGAAGAATGTAAGTTGTTTCTCATATTCTATCAAAGTAACAATAATGTAGTGCATTAAGTGTACGATGAGAGAAGACCATAAAAAATAAACAAACTAATATTAGTATAATTGGCTTTATTCAATATTCTACTTTTTGTACAATATTGTATTCCCAGCACAAAGTATTTCAACAAGTTTCCTGACAATAAATAGTGGGTGGTCAACAGTTGGATATTAGTAGTTCAGGAATCAACATCTGAATAATGCACACTGTTTTCGCGGAATATTGCCATCAACTTGTTGAAATATTTAGATGACAGGTAAAGGGGGCCCAGATATCCAAACATCCTAATTACACATCATCAGGTTACCAACTAAGCTTCTGTCTAATTGTTAACAAACAAGACAAATCATTCTGATAAATATTCTTACAGAGAAAAAACATAAGCATTCTATGAAAATGCTTACTTTATCTAATTCATTTGCTGCTTGTAGGGTGTAAACACCTGTAATCTGTTGAAATCGTGTTATCAGCACAAGTACAATAGCATTTCGTAATCCATTAGCTATATATATTACAATGTGTAATGGAAAAAACAAAACAGATTTTTCAATGGATTAAAACTTAATAGTTAATTATATATTATATAGAGGATACTTGTCAACATAAGTTTAATTATCAAGTATGTCATTGCAATGAATATTATACATTAGCATACATAGACAAACTACGGTAGAAAAAGTTCATATGGAATTGAATAGTATAATAATAATAAACACTTGGTGATCGTAATTGGGATTACATAAATTAAGTGTAAAAAAAACGTGTGCTTTGTCGGCATGCTTGTGTAGGCGTCAGTAACAAAATATAACAAACACAGAAATAACCATTTAAATCATTATCATTTTTTTTTTAATGGGGAAGAATAAAGTATTGCAATAAAGAGAGTTGGGCTAAAAGTGGAGAAAAAGAAATGTTTGAGTTTAAAACAAACTGAATTGATAATATAAAGTTATGATAGATAAATAGAAAGGAAACAAATTAGTATCTTTCATATTTCCTTTCATATATAATTGATAAAGAATCATCTCAATGTTTTGCAAAAGCTTTACTTATAGATCATGTAAAACTCCAAATGACTGGTGTGTTGGGTAGAAACAGGTGTCTACCACAGTACAATGGAAGATGGTCGCGCGATTTCGTGGATTAGTTGAGCTTAGACATTAACACCATTGGATGCCGGGTCAGTGGTTCAGTAGGTTGAGCGTTCGTGCGCGAAACTGAAGGCCCTGGGTTCGAATTCCGATAGCGGGATCATGGGCGTGCACTGCTGAGGAGTCCCATACTAGGATGAAACGGCCGTCCAGTGCTTCCAGGTTTTCAGTGGTGGTCTAACATCAATCGGTTCATGATCTCAATCAAAAATCTTATTTCTTCATTTGATTGTCAAATGTGTTTTATAATGCACAGATATTACAATACAATCTTCCAAGATTATTCTAATATTCAATTCATCAATTAAAACAAATATTGGGTAATTTAAATTGAGTTCTGCATTTGTCCTACATTTTATGTTTTAAATTTTACATTACTATTATTTCGCAATATGTAGCTGATCAATACATTTATCTAATCTTTCTAATTTAAGCTAACAGACAAACTAATAGAATGGTGGTTAACAGTGAAATCCACGACGCATGTTTCGTCCTATTTGAGACTCGTCAGCTGAACGTACCTGTATCGCAGAGTCGATATTCACTCAGGAACTCAAACCCAGTACCGTTCCTTTCAAATGCCATCTCATCATCCACTTAGCTACTGAGTCTTGATAGCCGCTAGCTTTTGTAATGAGGTTTGTTTGAATCTTAAAACAATACAAAATGAGTTTAAAGTAATAGGCTTTAAACTGAATAGGCAAACACCTAATGATAATTTCATTCAATATCTTTATAAAAACTGTTGCACGATGACGTACAGTTCAATTTGAAGGTAAATGTATGTTTATGATTAGGCAGATCCATGTTCACTGGATTAGTAGTCTTACATTTATCCTTTGTTGGTGAAGAAGATTTGTAGCTCAGGTGGATGATTTTGATGGAGTTTTGTTCTCTGAGCTGGATGATTTAATCCATAAAAAGTATAATGTATGGTTTAGTAAAATGTTCTTTTTTATAAATTTGTACTTGGCGGTATAATGTTTAGTTATTTTATTATTATTTGAACACATAAATATTGGTACGAGAGGGCACCAAATATATATGCGCCACACAAAACAATGAGAATTCGAAGAGAAGAAGGAAAAAAAGGTGAGTAGCATAAAAGAAGAACAATAACGAACAGACTAGTGTAAGATAGTGTAATAATAATAATAATGGGGGAGACGGAAAGGTACAATCAGAAGAGATCTTTCAGTTAAGGAAGAAGCAACCACTTTTTATCAAGAAAGTAAAAGAAGGTTACAGCATGATCGCCATTGGCTTCTATTCTGACCCATAGCCACTGCGTTGGACCATCTCTCGGTCCCCAGCCAGGGAGTCGTGAAGGACCATTTCAATTGAACATAAGTTTTAATATTTAATAGCAAAACAACTTTTAAAATATTAATAAAATCTAAAGCAAGTAACTTGTTATATTTAACTTATCTGTGGATTATTTTAGCGAATATTTATTATAATTATCAAGCTTAACATTATTATCATCAATAATTAGATCAAATATAGATGCTTAACTCAAAAAGAATCAGTATAATGACATGGATCAATTGTACAGTATAAGGGGTTTTTACAGATTATTAGATCTGATCATTAACACCATGAACTATCCTTAGTTAAGTAGTAATCAAAAATCAGGAAGTATTGAACTTATGTGTATCTTTCCAGTATGGAATTTCTCAATAGTATCCATCTAAAACCTCACTATGTATTGAACTTAATATCCTAAGTTCTTGTTATCAAACAAAAACGAAATATCTGTCCAATATTTTCTGGTTTTTGACGATTGTGTAACTAAAGATATAACCATGAGTTTAACATAGAAATGAGATAAAGAATAGCTTGGGAAAATCAGTTCGAAGATTGTTCATTAACTATTCATGTGAGTTTTTTCATCATTTTTAATTGTATATGAAAGTAATAAACTGTTCCCAAATATATGTGAGTAAACAGTGGTGTAAATTGACATCTAATCAACCAATCTTTGAACATTAGCACTTTATAACAAACCATACCCCAGCCCATGTATCTCTGTTTTATTGATATAACCTTGAAATAAGTTATGAATATTACTGACAAACATTATACTTCCATAAAGTTGTTAAAAGTAAGCACTTCAGTAATAATTCCATTATCAACAACTAACTAAAGAAGGCTATAATTTGATTTGAAATAGTATGGATTATCCTGTTGTTGATATTTTTGACTGAAATTCTATCAATCTTAGGTTGCATATGGGGATCCTGTGCCGATTGTTTCGACATAGTTATTATCAAGTTGATTTAAATTAGATTGATCAAACCGAATTCAAAAGTATTAGTAACCGAACAATGCAAACATTTCAAACTGAATTAAATCTCATACCCACTGTACAAGCGAGTCGTTTGAGTTCGAGTGCCAGAGTGAGAATCAACTCTTTGATTTGGTAGATACATCTAGCTAAGGAATCTTAAATTAGACAAGTAAGAATTAGTGGATTCTAATGCTAAGTACATTCTATCCATTCTATAAATAAGCTGTGGTAAATGTAAAATGGCATGCCGAAAATCCTAAGCCACTGAGAGCTTCCCACATATCGTCACACATTTATAGGCGTCTTAAAGAGTTCCTATGATTCATACAATGATAAAAAAAGAATAATGATTAATACAACTTATGTATCTAATACACATAAGTTTTCATCATTTGAACAATATCTAATTAAAGAAACAAGACCCTAGAAATATGTTTTAAATGAATGTTTCTTTAAATGAACTACTCAGAAGTCGTATGGGAAATTGTTATCTGATAGATTCAATTAATGAAGATAACTTTCAATCAGTATAGATTCATACAGTTATTCATTATGCATCCATGTTATCCATTCAACATCTCAACATATGCATTAATAATGTTTTCTTACAACTATTGATTATGTAGTATTTTTTAGACACTCAAGATGGAATCACACACACTTTTAGGTTACTCAATTATAATGGAAAGATATCATACTTACTTAATTATTTTTTTTGGTTAGCGTTTTTTAGTGAGTTAGTTTTCTACGGGATGAGGTCACTAACCGCACGCCCAATCTTTCTCCTTTATCCGGGCTTAGGATCGGCAGTAGCCCAAGATGGGCTCCAGGCGGAAAGATATCATAACTATAAACTAACTTTATTTCATTCTATGGAAAGGTGAATCACGCAATTATCTTTTTATTTAATCTAAGCGTTGGTGACATTTTACTTCTATTCTTCGAAATAACAATAAAATCCATTTCATACAATATAGTTTCAACCATCTTTTCATTTAATCCGTTGTTTATTGATGGTGTGATTTATCAGTATATGGTTGTGAAGATTATTACGTTTTTGATTGAGATCATGAACCGATTGATGTTAGACCACCATTGGAAACCTGAAAGCACCGGACGGTTGTTTCGTCCTATTGTGGAACTCCTCAGCAGTGTGCATCCACGTCCCCGATCACGGGATTCGAACCCGGGGCCTTCAGACTAACGCGTAAACACTTAACCTCTAGATCACTGGGTCGGCATCCAACGGTGTTCATGTCTAACCTGGTTTATATGTGATGTTTTCTAAATCACAATGAAATTCTTATCACATCATAAATGCTTTTTATTTTGATATAATCTTACCATTGTCTATCTATAAATTTATGGACATTTATTATCATATGACCTAAAATAGAACAAAACAACACTTTATCGCTCTTAGGTTTACAAAAGTTCTACATTGCTTATCAGTTTATGATAAACAGGAAACTTTCATTGGTGAGAGATTTTCTAACTGTCATTGTCAGGTGATTAGATTAGTAGCGTTTCATATTATCATAAGTTTACAATAATGATATAGGACGTAACGTGAGTTAACACGGCATATTTTATGAAAAGCCGAACATAAAGAGAAGTGAGAGAATGAAATATACAACACAAATTTAATTAAAGAATAAGATGTTTATCTAAAAAGGAAAATTTTAATCATATACCGTGAGGTGATGTGATTTCCTCTTTGTCATATCTTTAGTTTATCTAGATCTGTTTCTTTAATGATAGAAAGGGTTTCATAGGTTACCATAAATTGGAGTACCATATCATAAAAATCTATGTTGCTACATGACATTATTTATGATCATGCTAATCGTATTATTGATTAAATATATATATTCCAAGTGTTTTTCTAATTTACAGATACGTTTATAGACTTGGTAATAGACTCTAGCATTAAAGTACAGTAAGATGGTGACCTAGTCACTGGAAACTAGGAAGCGCATCTACCCCTATTCGTATCTCGTTAGCTGAATGTGTCTGTCACATTCCAGAGGTGATGTTCACTCCAGGACTTGAAGTCATTACTATTTTATTTCAAATACCATTGCATGATCCATTAAACTGCTGAGTCTAACTAGCCACTACCTTGTGGACTTAAATAGAAACAACTTATTATACAAATCTGTAGTTTACAAAAAAATGATTAATTTAATTTATAAAAGGAGACAACATTAACTTACCAGTTGCTTCAACAATTCCTAAATCATGAATTGTAAAACGATCAAGCGCTATCACTTGTCTATAAACAACAAATACTCCACCTTCTGTTAGACTACGACCAGTTAAAGGATTCTCTGAAAATGATTTCTAAAATAATACAAAGATCTATTCAATTTATAATTATGTTAAAAACTTCATTGGTATATTTCATCTTATGTTTATTACGGTATTTAATATTAACAAATGTTTAAGTGAATATCAATTTTGGTTTAAATCAACATATAGTACTTTATAATCAGTATACTACTTTCATAATGAAAACTTTATATAAATAATAGTATTCTACCAAATGTATATAGCTTTTAGTGGCTTAAGATCTGACTACAGTTAGATCAGACAAATGATTATTATCGAAATATACATTCTGATTATTCTTGTATATGATCATCAATTTAAATCGGGCTGGTGAATGACGGGATTTAATAAATTAAATATGAGAATGTATGTTTCAATACGTATAGTTTGTACACTCATTACTTTGGACAGATAATCAGAGTGAAGAAAAGAGTGCGAAGCAAAATGATGCGTAGTGAAGATGGTATGCAAGCTAAATCTATTTAACCAGGCGTTAATCTATATTTATAGCCAGATAAAATGAGTTACAGACATCTGATGAATGGGATAAGAAGTGTACACATATACGCTCATATATAAAGTCAAGGTTGATAAGTGGATAATTACCAAGATCAAAACGTGACTCAAGAAGGATGGATAAATTGACATGTTCAGAAGTGAGAATATGTTATATGGGCTTAACACAATAACCGACACCACAAACTAAGTAAGCTATTGCCTGATAGTGAGTCTATTAACTAAATAACAGTAATGATCTGAACGAGAACATTTTTATTTGTTTATATTTTAACTTAAAACAGTCAAGTATAGTGACAGTATAAGAATGGGCTACTTCTTATTAGGAACCTAGTGAAGGTTATGATACATAGAAATGAAACATGTGCTTTAAGGGGTTTGATGTATAAATGACCTAAATGTAAATGGATGCCAATACAGTGATTACTGCGACTAAGTATTCCTAGGTATACCTAAAGGTATTGGGTTCGATCTCTAGAGGGCATGTGACTGCATACTACTGGAGAGTTCTGTGCCATCAGGAAATTGCTGTCCAGTGATTCCTGGTTTTCAATGCTACCTCAGCTGAAATCAATCTTTGACAAATATAGCCTATAAATAAAAACGAAATTAAGTTTGTGTTTTTAGTGCGAAATCATCTTCAACTTTTTATTTTTTTTCTAAAGATGACAATCAAGAACTGTAAGAGAAATTCTTTCGTGAATACTAAATACATATGAGGGTGGAATCTAAATACTAAAACAGAAATGTTAAGTTTAAATAACGTGTTGTCCTCTCTAGCTATGATATGTACTTCAGATTTGAACTTTTGATATTTAATCTCAGGCCGATGACATTTACATATGCAGACTACAATGACTAAGCGTAACTTACGAAGCATTATATATTATCAGGATAGATTGTGTCCTATGAGTGGAAAAGTGATAACTTGGAAACTTACAAAACAACAGTTCATAAAGGTTATTGTGAATAGTTCTAAGAATATTTGACATTTTCTCATATTTTATTCAATGTCTTATTAGTTTAATTAAAATAAACAATTCTAAGCATCAAATATAAGATAGTACAACAACTTCCTATTTTATCAATAGAAGATAAGTTTAACTAAGATATAAGATGGCGGTTGGAAGTAGTCAACTGGAAACCCTGTTGGTTACCTCTAACCACCATCTTATCTCAATATAGTGCACGCAATATCGAGTCACTTAAACTGGTGTCCACATTGCAACTTGGTCGATAGCGTTCGATCTGAACTAAGAAGGACCTGACATACATGACATTCATCACCTCCGAGTGTTCAATCAAATGTAAATTTACTAAGATACGATATCACTCAGTTATCATAATGAATATTTCTCACCAGTTTTACATTTAATACATTTTCTAAAAAAAAGTAATGTACTCGATGTACAAATTCCATTGTGAGTGACTATTGAATTTTCAAGGGACAGACTTGAAGAGAAAATATGCCTACAACCGTATTAGTTTAACTTAAATTTATGATAGACTGTAAGCGAACTATAAAATGATACGACCGCAACCGGTTGTTATACAATTTATTCACTTTAAAAGAAAATATAAAATAAAGGAAACTTTATTGAGATATTTATATAGTTAAAAAATAAGAGGCCTACGATTTCTAATGGGTTACCTTTTTAAATCCTAGAACATCAGTTGTAAATTATTGAAATAAATAAAATATTGGACTCCTCGGCGGTGCGTACGCACGATCCCGCATTCGGGATTCAAACCTAGGACTGTTGAGTAGACCCATACTAGGACGAAACGGTCGTCCAATGCTTCCAGATTTCCAATGGTGGTCTAGCTTAGATCGGCTGGTAAATTGAAATGTGAAAATGCTACAATCTCCACAAATCTCCATACTGTCAATAAAATATACTTAAAGCTTTAAGTATATCTATACTGAATATTAAAATAACTGCAAATATTTTATAACATTTTACCGATAGCTTATCATCAAAATAATATCCAGTTCTTAACAAAATCATTCACATACTAAGCATTGAATAGTAATTTCTTCCTAAGCAAAAATGAATGATAGTGGCTAGCAGTGGGACTCAAAACGTGCGTTTCATCCTACTTGGGGCTTGTCAGCTAACATATACCTGCAACCCGAAATTAAGGTTCTTCATTGATTCCATTAAAAAGTTTTAAAGTATTTAAACACTCATTTTAGAATATTACCGTCTATATTCACTAGTTGTTAATTTACTTGTATCTTCCCATTGTTATTTAGGAGTGCAATTAATCAGTCTCATATTAGCATATGTGAATTTTAACTTCACCCCATTTCACAAGCAGGTGGCTATCAGAACGCAGGAGCTAAGTGGACAACGCTATGGCATTTGAAGCGAACGGTACTGTGTTCGAGTCCTAGAGTGAACATCAACTCTGGGATGCAGGTATATCTAGCTGACGAGTCCCAAATAGGATGAAACACACATCCTGGATTCTACTGCTAGCCACTATCCATCTATGCTTATTACTGTCTATGTTTTAATAATAGTTTTTTATTCTATCTCTTATTCTATTCAAGTCATTGAATATTATTCAATACTTCTACTGGTTTACGTGACAATATACATTATTCTGTCTTTCACATAGTAAATAACTCATATTCATAATCAATTGTATATTCATAAAAATTGATTTTCTATAACGAAAATATTGATTTGATTATTTACCTTTTTTGGTGGTTTTTTAATTCGTGTAACCAGGAGAAAATCATCAAATAAAAAAGCAAATATTTCGATAGTTTTGGTTCCATCTAAAATCAATCAAGATTAATTCAATGTTACTTTCTCATACATTCAAACAAAATGGTGCATTCAAAGTATCGATTAACTACAGTATCATTTAGTTGAGTAGGTTAAACTGATCAAAAAATTCAACACCATATGAGTGTGGTTGAAAAATCAATAACTCAATACTGTATAATTGTAATCTTGTTTTCGTCAGTTCATAATTTAAAGTACTTGTAGGTAGAACAAAACTATCTTTGAAACTGTGTTACTAGTATGATGTGTGTTGCTTATATCGACATGAGTATTATATAACGATAGTTAGGAATAGAATGTTTGGCAGCAGAAGGTTAAGAAGATAAAGCAGGAAAGAATGGGAACAGAAAGTAATTGGTATGAAAATGCAGGAACAATGAAGTCTGAGATGATTGACTGATGTTTGCAAAAAGATCAGTCAAGTTTGAGACAATTGATTGACATTTTGTAAATTAAGTATTTACTGTATGATTCTCAGATTTTACTAAGCGGTTCTGTAAGTTTGTGTTCAAATGCATACAATTGTCCCTACATGTGCTTTCGTTCACTACACTAGTATAAAAATATATGTTCTATCCGGGCGAAGGATAAGTGAATAATAACTGCTAGGATCTGTTTGTGAATTATCATTATATATATTCTTATTGTATGATGATTAAATAACTATATTACATGCATATTCATATTCCTTTTATTATGACTTTTATTTGACCTCTTGACTATTATTATACGACTTACTATTCTTAAGATATTCTCAATTTATTAGTAACAGTCTCTCACAGTCACGGCCACTTTTTGACTCGATCTTGTTTAATTGTTATTTTCTATTTTATGGTATGATGCGGTCTGATTTGTTTATATACAAAGTGCGTATGTCTGAAATATATGATTCGTATAACGGAGGCTGATATTAGTGTTCTGGACTAAGCTGGCTGGGTTAGAAGAGAAGTTACTAACTTTGTGGACCACTAAGAACCTAGAGTTGACCCTGGACTGCTCTTACTGGTTTATGCGTCATTGGTCTGGTAAGTCGACTTTCTAATTGGCGATCGTATCATGCAACATATTATCTTAAACTAAAGGATATAACAATATTTCTTAAGTGTAGAGTGTAAATAAAATCGTCTGATACAGTGAAAATGTTGATGGTTTATAAGTAAATTCAACCAGAATGGTTAATAAAGAGGAAGAATGTATTTGTTAAATCTCACCGAATGAATTTTGAAGTAAATCCAAAGTTTCCCCTGGCAATCTGTTCCAAGCTTTTTTAAGGAAATATAATCAAACATCAAAATTATCGAATATAAATAGGTGAATGGTTCTCTGGTTTACTGTATACTATATAAGTCATCCAATAAACGTTAACAATGTTTAAAGTAGGTATTTACATTAATATGTAAGAGATGATTGATTGGATGACTTATTCAGTATACAGTAAACAGGAGAACCATTCACCTATTTATATTCGATAATTTTGATGTTTGATTATATTTCCTTGAAAAAGCTTGGAACAGACTACCAGGCGAAACTTTGGATTTACTTCAAAATTCATTGTTTCACATTAACTCGGCGCCCAAATACTGTGAAGCTATTCGATCAAATTTAGACGAAAGTTCAGAATAGTTAGTGTTTCGAAGAATTCAACTGTCATTTATTCCGAAATAGTTTCTCTGTCCAGTGATCTTCAGCGACTTCATCCTAGTAAATATTTTCTTCAGATTCTATTATTCATTAAATATTCTGTTTTGTCATTGTTTGTGAAAATTAGTAAGAAAACATTAACAGTCATTGTATTGGATAAGAGTAATTCTCTATCATTCTGATTTTGGTATTTGTTTAATGTATTCCTGTTAATGAAACTACATTAAAACGGTTAAACCAGTAATATTTTAAATTAATGTTGATGAGCGAAATATAAGATTAACAAAGCTTCATTCAATTTCTTCATAACCACTTCCAATTGTCTAACGTCTGAACATAGTGATGTATATGATGTCAAGTCACTTCGACTAGTAGTCGATAGAATTCAATCGTCACTAAATAAGTAGACAGACATAAGATAAGTCATTACTCTGTGATTTGTTTTGTTGCTAAACTGTACGTAAAGCATAGAACGATACCATAAAACGATCTAAATTCATTTGGATGAATCTATTACGTTAATGGTAATTAATTGAATGAGAATATTTGGAATAGCATGACTATGAACTACATATACATAATTCCCCTTATTTCTACTGTACACAATATAACTTGGAAGATGACTTGATTAAGCATTGATCAATAATATTGTATATAATAATAATAGCATAACTATTACATAATATTTGATTCGAAATTACCAATATTATATCATTCAACTTACCATTTAATGTTAAAAAACCTTCATGTAATAATTGTCTTTTAGGATTTGCAATCAATCGTTCACATGGTTGACGTATTAAACTTTGACGTAAAAATTCCGGAATAAATACTCTTGGTTCTAATTCTGAAACTGATGGCCATATAAGTTGAGATTGAATTTCTTGAAGTCGTTCAAAGTTTTTTAACCAACGCATTTTATCTTCCAGTGATTCTGATGTTATTAGTAACGCAATAGAAAAAAAGGGTAACACAGATATTTCAATATGTGTTGTAATTCAAAAAAAACTCCGCTGAAACGTGACTCTAATGAGCATGTTCAAGTTTGTTTACTAGAGCATATATCGGATTTCGGATGAAAGTTAAGATTTCATTTGTTCAGTATAAATGAGGTGGTTTTTCTCAAAGAAACTTTCTTAAATCTACGGTTCTAAATCTGAAACAACAACTCCCATATAATCAGTCATAAGGTGAGTGTAGGCAAATGACATAAAAATTCGTAAAGAAATAAACCAACTGCCTTAGGAAAAGTTGGATGATGAATAACAGTAGAATCCAAGACGAGTGTTTCGTCCTGTGCGAGATTCATCAGGCGGATGCACTTAGACTGAGGGTTGATGCTTAATCGGGACTCAAACTTATTACCTTTCGTTTCAGGTCGCACAGAATTTATGTATGCTGAACGAGAATGATCAGTCTTAATCCTTTAAATCAATCACAAGAAGATTCAAACGATCCGTATAAATGAATAAAAATATATTATTAATTTCCAATTATAAAATGGGAAGATTCGAAATGAAAGAAATTAGTTTTAGGAAGTACTGAAAATTACATACACCTCAAGACTCATTTCAGATTGCATTACGAGGTAAGCGCTCACTTGGAATCTTGAATGGAAGCGGAAAAGAGGAAAACCAAAAAAACACTGCGTCGAGAGTTGGAAACAGACATCAAAAGGGTGAATAGGAATTAGAATCACCTGTAAAGGATTGACCGGGACAGAATTAGATGGAGAATACTGGTAGTCGTCCTATGCTCCTCTGCGAGAAGTAACAGGCGTAAGTACGTGACTAAGTCAAGACTCATTGTTTTTTTCAATACCTTTAGAGGTATGGTGTGTTTTTTAATCACCATTGAATTGATTTTTGTTTATTTAGGTTATTTAAAGGAAACATATTCAGTTTAAAGATGATTTTTTCTAACTTTGCATCGTTGCTCAAATCCAAATTGATTAATGATAAACTTAATATAAATTTTAGAGTTCTACATTATCTCTTATCATTTTATCGTTGGTAATACACGCAGTATGTTGGAGAAGTAATATAACTTCTGAAGTATCAGTGATGTCTTGAATTACTATGATTGATGTATTCAAGTTCTTTCAGTCACAGATATTTTTTTTCACTTTATTTAATTGATACTGAAGATAAATTTAGATCGTTTATCTGAAAAATGGTGCTTTACAGTAATGAATTAAAATTTCCAAAAATATTGATTTTAATCTAAATGGATTTACATAATGCATCTTATTATTTTTAGTATCTATGGTGACACGTTAAGAACACGATTCACAAGATTAGATGGTGGTTGGAGGTAGTCGACAGGAAATTCTGTACCTTGGTTTCGCGCTACTTGGCACTCGTCAATAAGGTGTACCTGTAATCTCGAGGGAAGTGGTGCACCATTTCATCTCAACATAGTGCACGCAATTTTGAGTCACATAGACTAGTAGCCGCACTGTAACATGGTCGATAGCATTCGATATTCACTAAGAAAGCCTTGACACACATGACATTGGTCACTACCCAGTGGTCAATCAATTATGATTCGCAAGAATTTAGTTTATTCCTAAATTAACACTTGAATCAAATTTATATACTTTGTTGGAGAAGTAATTCCAAAAAAACTAAAATAAAAGTGGCATGAAAGTGAAAATATATTGTTAGTATTGTTATTTCTTAAAATTTAATAAAACAGTTTACTACTTATATACTACTTATATATGTTCATCTAATGAAAGTTTATCAATCTGATCATAAATAACGAGAGATAAAATAAAATAAAATAGATCAATATGTGATGAAAAGTGTAGCACTCATTGCATCGATTTTTCATGTATGTGCTATGTATGATGTTGTAATTAGAAACGATTATTTAAAGCATTACATTACGCGGCAACAACAACAACAACAAGGTAATCAATTTTGGTTAACTTAAATAATATCAGTCATTTGATTTCACAGTTACATATAAGCTGTAAACAGCGTAAAATTACATGAAGTAATATGATTAGAAAGAAAGTACTTATCCAAAATCTTACACTAAGGACTTGAACCCAGGACCTTAGGTCTTATGAGTGAACAGTCGTTCAGTGCTTCCCTCAACTACATCCATAAAGTGAATTAACAATTCTGGAAGTTTTCGTTTGTTTATATTTTAACCATTAATCTTAACTTTATTAAATAAAGTCTATTAAGCCCTTTTTATTTTTACTATAATATCTGTTTGACTATAGGTTGTTTATAACTGATGATAAGGCATAAACATAGAATGAATTCATTTTATTCTATCTATTTCATATTTTACATTTATCAAGAAGAAAAAAAAGATATTTCATTCTATAGTATACACTTACTTAATGAGTTTTCCACTTTAGTTAAACATGCTGTTAACATTTCTTGTTCAGCACTACATGCTGTATAACGTCGAATACTACTTAATAATAATGGTATTTTCATATAATGTTGCATTGGTGCTACCAATAAATCTGTTAATTGTAATCGTCGACAACGAGTATCTTGTTCACACCACTAGATTTAACAATAAATTAAAAGAAAATAAGAGAGTTTAATAGAGACAATTAAAGTTTTTTAAACAACATTACACATAATAATAATAATAATAATTTATATATTCTGAAAATAATAATTACAGAATTCACGCCAGTTTACAAGCATGATCAATTCGACATACGTAGTAACAGTAGATGTAGCAAACAAACATGTGATAGAAGAAAGTTTTAAGTATACTAGTTCAGTAATTGTTTAGGTAGTACAGGTGTTAGAACATTCAATGCATTTTCAGAAGAGCAGTATGCATCGATGCAGCGAACAAATAATGAGAGTGATTTTATCGTACGGATAGATTGCTGTAGGTTACTCCAGAGTCTAGAAAACTTACAGGTAAAGTAATTCATATAAAGAGATGATTTAGAATAAGTTTGTTTCACTAGTGACAAGGAATTACGGATGTCATAATGAGAAGTTTCTGCATATTGAATCACGTAATTAGATGTAAAGGATAGTTTGTTAAGTAGTTTGAAGAAAAAGATAAGATTTAGTTTGAGTCTTCTCTTCCATAAAGGGTCTAGCCCAAGTTTATTACATCGAGAGTTATAAGTTAAGGTACAATCAGCTGCAAGAATACGAAGTGTAAATCGTTTCTGTACTGATTCCAGTCTTAACTTTTATGCGCGCACTGCTAAGAATAAACGTGCGATATTCTAGAAGTGGTGGAATACAAACTTTATACATTAAAATACATGACACATTGTTGTAAAGGTTTCGAGTTATGTAACCAACAAGGTCTGTTTCGATATCTGTTCTGTAAACGTTAAGTCTTGGGAGTACCTAAGTCCTAAGTCTACTACTGTATGTAACCTAGATAACACTTCACCATTTATGGTAAGATATAAGTTGAGTGATGTATCGCCGAAGCATATCCATCCACATTTAGCCGTATTAAGCTCCAGTTCCCATGTTAAGCACCACTGTACTACCTTGTTAAGCTCCATGCTGATGCAATTTTGCATATTTTTCAGCTCGTGTAGAGAAAATGAATATACTACTTTAAGATCATCCGCATATAGAAGGGGCTTACCCACACGAAAATTTTCACAAATATCATTGATAAACACTAAAAAGAGCAAAGGTCCTAAGACACTACCTTGTATTACACCACTTCTAACAGGGACAGCGTTAGACAATGAAGAGTTAATTTTAACTATTTGATGTCGATTACTGAGAAAGGAATCAAACCAAGCTAGCAAAGGATTTTGAACCCCATAAGATGCAAGTTTACCTATAAGAAGTTGGTGGCTAACCATGTCGAAGGCTTTAGAAATGTCCAAATAGTTTGTTCAGCTATTCCATATCGTAAAGATATGATGTAGTGTTAATCAATTGATAATAATAGAAAAACTATTGATTAGTATTTAAGTAGTTCTCTGAGTGATGTAATAACCGACACTTATTTTCCATTAAAACAGAAAAAGTATGTAGTTTATAAACAAAGATGGATGGTGGCTAGTAGTGAAATCCAGGATGAATTAAATGTAGTTTGGTTGTAGCGGATATAAAATGTGCTATAAGCAGTTGTTCTACAGTTACAGTAGATGGTCAGATTAATCTTCTCAAAAATCTTTATAATCTTGCATCTTTTCTTTAAGTTTTCAACATTCCAGAAATAGTTTCTGTGAAGTATCATTATTCGTTCATGCAGTTTACGTAGTAGATGAAATTCCCTTTTTTTCAATTTACCGAACATTGCTACTTCACAAAACTCAAAGTAGATAAACTATTATGCATTTAATTTATTTTGTATAGGTTGTTTGAATCTAACCATTGATATCTAAGACTACGAGTGGTCAGTCTCTTAGTGACATATGTACATCATGTACGCATTGCTTCGATATTACCATATATTACAAGCATTATTGGTAGAGATGAATGATGACTAACAGTGGAATACATAACACACGTTTTATCTTATTTAAGACTTGTTAGATAGATGTAATTGCATCCCAGAACTGATGTTCACTTCGGAACTCGAATCAAGTTGATTAAAGTGCCGGACGTTTACTTTTCATCCTCTCAATTTCTTAAACAACAATGCTACCACGAGAAGGCATTGAGTAAAACTTTCTTGCCAGTGACTGTATACGCGTGGTTATGTGAGAGCATTTCGAGAGGGAGAGCGGACTCGCCCCATCCTCGACCGAAAAAAATACTAAAAAACGTTTGTACTTGAGAAAGACTCAAATAAATCAAAAATGACTGACAAGAAATGACACTGAAAAGCTGTAAAATAATTTATATGGATTGAATAAATTCTTTTTTTATATACTTTAGATCTCATATATACGCATTAAAGCTTAAGCATAAAATCTTTCACAGAAATTTTTTAAAATATACTTACTTATTTACCCTTGTTACCCCTCATGGAGGAGTATAGGTCACTCATCAACATTCTCCAGATTTTATACATAATATACATAAAATAACTCAATATACTATCCCATTGAAAAATGTTCACTATTGATGAGTATTGAATTGTTCAGTACCTCACATACAATTAAGTTTATTCACACTTAATTCGGTTAAGTAATTTTGTTAACTTATTAACGAACTGAGTCATCCGTACAACAAATTATCTGTATTATCAGAATGGGTTTTGTGGAGATTTTTAGAAATTTCACTGGTTGAAATCATGAATCAATTGAAGCTAGACCATCTTGGAAAACCTGGAAGCACTGGACGGCCGTTCCGTCCTAGTATGGGACTCCCCAGCAGTGCGCATTCACGATCTCGCCCTCTGCGGGATACGAAGCCAGAACCTATCAGTCTCGCGCCAGGCACTTAACCAACTAGACCACTGAGCCAGCAGGCATACAACGGTGTTAATGTCTAACTTCAACTAATCCACGAAGTTGCGCCACCGTGCACCATTGTCTTCTATATCATTGTATCTTTATTGTTGTTGCGAATGTATGAACAAGTATTCTTGAGCATTGCTTACTGCCTACGAATTTATTCACGCTGCTAGCCTTACTACTAACCCCTTAATTGATTCGATAATTCATTCATTTCACTATGTATATATATGCCCACGTTATTCATATTGGCTGCTCTCTCTCTTAATTGTACTTGCTTACTCGTACTTATATTCGCTGACTCGCTGACTAGCTCGCTCGCTTGCCTGCTTGCCTTTCGGCACAGCTCTTTCATGCTTGTTTAACGCACTTGTGATTTCGGATATCTGTGAGTGTGGTCCCATAATAAACGTAATCAACACTTTGTATTCGCCTTCTAATTAAGATACCGTAGGAGCGTTATCCAGTGATAGTTATCAAGACGAACTGTATACGAAGTTTAAGGATTATATAGAATAACGACCACCACACAGTACCCAATTTAATAAATTAACTTTATATAAACAAAACAACTTCATTAAAAACCAATTCCTTAACTTTAATCTACTCTTTCATCTCAATAATTCAATAAATCATTATGTTATAATTGAATACATTAAAGAACAATGAGACTAACCTTTTCGAATTCATTAAAATGTTCAAGTTTTCTTAAACTATCTAAATAATTTAAAGCTGAATCATAATTTAAACAATAATTATGATAAATTTCTCCATCTTTTGAATGTTCAGACCACTTAACATATATGAAATTGGATAGAAGAGAATGAAATAATTAAAAATGAAGGAAAAAAAAAGAAAAAAAGAATGTAAACAAATTATGAGTATATAGTTTGTGTTATTTTTGGTTAGTGATTATTAAGTTTTGATTGAGATCATGAATCAACTGATGTTAGACCATCGTTGGAAACCTGAAAGCACTAGACGGTCGTTTTGTTCTATTGTGGGACTCCTTAACAGTGTGCATCCATGATCCCGCTCGTTCGGTTTGAACTCAAGGCCTTCGGTCTTACGCACGGACGCGTATTCGATAATCGTTTTCAATTTCATTTATTTATATCCACTTAGTATTGCATGTTTGAGTCTTTCTATTGATGTTTAAAATTGAAATTGATCAGTCACTTATTGATATATGTGTATACCGTACAATACAAAGTGAATTTAAACTTCACTCCATTGTACAAGCTAGTAACTATCAGGACTCAGTAGCTAAGTGGATGACGAGATGGCGTCTAGTGCTTCCAGGTTTCCAACGGTGATCTAACATCAATCGGTTCATGATCTCAAACAAAATAAATAATCTATTGAGATCATAAGCTGAACTAAACTAACCAACCATTGATAATGAAGAAACATTCAATAACTATTTTGTCCTGGCATTGAATTCTTCAGGAATGTGAATTTCAGTTGAGACTAGTATAGTTCAAACATATTGAGTGTTTAAGGACAGACCGTTTCATCATTTGCTAATACTCTCATATTAAACTGTAAAAACACACCTTCCGGTTTTAGAAAAACGTTCAAACTTTGAGTATAAGTTTCAGCTTCTGATGTGATCTACCCATAGCAAACTGGATAGATTAGTGGGAATAAAATCCATGTTAAGAAGATTCTTTGAAAGTCAATCCATGCTTACCTAATTAAAAGCTTTATAAAGTATTAGTTGTAACTAGTGTTCCTTATTTTCATCAATGAAACAAAAGACATTTTAAGATTAACATACTTACGAATTATCTTGACTAATTTATTGATAATTTATATAAACATACTACTCATTAATCAACGAAATTCTTACAATAAATTTGTATGTATTTTCAATGGTTAAGATCATGAGTCAGTTGAAGCTAGACCACCATGGAAAACTTGGATGCACTGGACGGTCGTTTCGTCCTGTTGTGGGACTCCTCAGCGGTGCGCATCCACAACCTCGCCCCCTGCAAGATTCAAACCCAGGACCTACTGTGTGTATTCATTAGAAATTCCCATAATATTACTCACAATTAGTCATAGTTTAAATAATCGATATGTCCCGACTGGAATAAGGAATGCTAACTGTTGGGATCCTTTTATGGACTAATACTACACATATATTTTTTTACTGTATAATTGTTAAGTAACTAAACTATTCATATTCCCGTTCCTCCGATTATACGTTTTATTTTGACTTATGAACCATCATTATACGGTTGATCATTCTTGAGTTCTGCTCAGTCTATTAATGACAGTCTCCCACATTCACAGTCACTTTTGGCTAGATGTTATACAATCGTTATTTTCTATTTTATGGTGTGATGTGGTCTGTTTGGTTTGCATATAAACGTAGTATGTTTGAAATAACTGATTTATATCGTAGAGGCTGAGATTGGTGTTCTGGATATAACAGGCAGGGTTAGGCAGGTGGCAGGACCGATAAGGAATCTAAACTCACAATTCCTATTTAAAATAATTAGTATCAGCACAACTGATCTCTAAATAGGGTTACTTGAGTATGATTACTATTCTTATTCATAGAGGTCTCTAAAAATCACGACTAATGTTCACAAAAACTGGCTCCGCAACACCTGGTCATAAGAAGTAATATCTATTTAAGTGACTAATAAGGCAGACGGCTTAAGTAAACAAGCTGATAAAAATATTAAATAACTTAAATTGTTATTAGCGGTGGAATCTAGGAGAAGCGTATTGTTTTGTTTGGGACTGACTACCTGGATGTAAAACTGAATTACATCATTAATGTTACAACTAAGATTTCAAGGCGGTACCTTTTAATTCAAATATTAAGGTGTTATCAACTGAGCTACTGGGTTCATATGACTATAAATCTGTTTAGTTAGTTTCATGTTATCTTGAAATAATACTAATCATTACTCATACTGTCACAGCTGATATCTAGTTCAGTTCATGGGCCCACTTACGACAACTAAGTAGAGAGGTCATACTACAGACTGGTTAAAGTCAAGTACTATGATACAAAAATGTATTTCCTTAGAAAACTCTTTATAAATGCTGGTGATAAAATGCATATATCCAATCTTTACACGAAGCAACATTAGTATTTTAAAAATTCATCCGATCAGTAGTATTTCGGTGAAATCAGATTGAACATGAATCGTAACGAACGTAACCATCACTTTGTCAGCAATTCAATATTTGTCACTGTTTTTACTCCTTCCCACCCGGAAAAATGACATAAATGTATATACTTTTTAAAAACTTCACTTGTAAACATACCCTTTTTAACGGACGAAGTAATACATCAGTACTACCAAATTCATTAGATACTGATTCTTGGCTTAAATTACTGATAAGTTCACGGCAGAATGTATGACTAACCTATTAAAGTAAATGAATAAATGTATAATTAATTTCCATAAAACAACTAAAAGAAGAAGTTTATCTGGAAGATGTGATATATTTGCTCTGTAATCAACCTTATTTAATTTTTGAGTTATTTGCTCCAAAACAATCCAATCCAATGTAATATCAATCTGTTAAGCTAATTAGTCACATTTATAATTGATTGATCATTACCTAGTGAATAGCCAGTTGTATATACATCTCAGTCCTACAGGAGGTCAGTTGCGGCTCGGATAACCCAATGATAACGTCTCTAACTGTAAAGCTGGGTGACATGGGATCGAATCTGTCAGGGAGCATCAGTTCTCCCAAGATTACAGTTACACCTTCCTGACGATTGCCAAGTAGCGCGAAACCAAGGTACAGGGTTTCCTGTTGACAACCTCCAACCACTATCTTAGTCACATTTAATTAGCGCGTAATATTACACCATAGTAATAGTTACATTCAGTAAAATTTCACATGATTGTCTATAAAAAGTCACCTTACAGAACTTCAGATATATCTATTATAATATTTAGAAAATTAAGATGAACAAAAAGACAAACTTACGTAACATAAATCATCCAAATTTCCAAATAAATGCATTGGTTCAACAAACATAAGATATCCATCCACTTGCAGTTTTTTCAATGGTTCCATAAAGCACTGAAGTTATAAAACATTTATAAACAATGGTTATATATATAGTTTGTAGGCCAAAAGTGAAACGAACAACATGAACATACATAAAACTACTTGATAGCATTATTGAATCTTTTCTGGTTTGGTGAAGAACAACATTTGATTGAATTCCTTTAATCAATCGCTTATAAAGAGTTTTCTGTAATGTTTCATGTGAGTTAGGAACAGAATAAACCAAGTTTACCATAAAAAAGCGAGTTTTCATAATCGTATTACAATTTGTAGAACCAAATATCTTAGATGTGTATGACGTTTGAATAATGAAGAACATACACATATTTAAATGAACAATTCAATAAGTAGGAGTAGAAGTTAACTTATTCAGACCAATCGCTGATTCGGACAATTGAAAGACTCGTTCGAGGTAAATACCGATGTTGGGCAAGGTTGCTTACTCTCACCCTTTCTCTTTCTCATGGTGATCGACTGGATCATGAAGACGTCAACATCTGGAGGGAAACATGGGATACAGTGGACAGATAGGATGCAGCTGGACGATCTAGACTTCGTAAATGATCTGGCTGTTCTGTCACACACTCAATAACAAATGCAGGAGAAGACGACTAGTGTAGCAGCAGCCTCAGTAGCAGTAGGTCTCAACATACACATAGAGAAAAGTAGGATTCTCCGATACAGCACAGCATGCAACAATCGAATCACACTTGACGGAGAAGATTTGGAAGATGTAAAAACCTTTACACATCTTGGCAGCATCATTGATGAACACGGTGGATCTGATGTATATGTGAAGGCACGGATCGGCAAAGCGAGAGCGGCATATCTGCAAATGAAGAACATCTGGAACTCAACCAACGCCAAGGTCACAATTTTCAATACAAATGTCAAGACAATTCTACTGTATGGGGCGGAAACCTGGAGAACTATGAAAGTATGATGGTTAGAAGTATTTGAATTATAGTACGAACTAAGAATCCCAGAAATAGCGTAATCGGATCAAGAAGTACTAGATAAGCACAAACGAATGTACTGTATTTAGAATTCGAAATCAGGTATTGAACAAGTACAAAGAAATCATTAGTTCGTTCAAACACCACAGAAAGGCATCATCCCAAAGATATAAGTGTTTATAAACAGCTGTCTATGCAAAATACTTCGGATCCGTTGGCCAGACGCTATCAGCAACAACCTATTGTGAGAGAGAACAAGCCAGATTCCAATGGAGGAAGAAATCAGGAAGAAGTGCTGGAAATGGATATGACACACATTGAGGAGTGCACTCAACTGCGTCACAAGGCATGCCCTCACATAGAATCCTGAAGGCCAAAGGAGGAGAGGAAGACCAAAGAACACATTACTCCGAGAAATGTAGATAGATATGAGGAAAATGAACAAACGTTGAACAGAACTGGAAAGGAACGCCCAGGACAAAATGGGTTGGAGAATGCTGGTCGGTGGCCTATACTCCATTGAGAATAACAGGTGTAAGTAAGTAAGTAACCGCCAATTCATCTTTATATGTCAAACATGTTTTGATGCTTGTTGATTACTTCAATGCATTATGAGAAGTGATGAACTGTAGCTAACAGTGGAATTCAAGACGCGTGTTTCATCTTAGTTGGGACTTGTCATTTGTATGTACTTGCATCACAGAGCTAAACTGGACAAATAGGTGGACAATTGATTCGAGTCGTAGAGTAAACACTAATTCTGTTATTCAGGCACATTCATCTGATGAGTCCCGAATAGGACGAAACGTGTGTCGTGGATTCCACTGTTATCCATCATCCATTTCTGCCTATTATGTAAGTGGTAATATCGAGGTAATCCGTAAATGATGTACATATGTCAATAAGAAACTGATCATTTGTAGTCCTAAACATCAATGTGAAGATTCAAATAACCACTACAAAAATGAATAGAATAATTTATCGGTTTGCTGAGATAATTTCAATTAAAAGGTAATCATGGTCACACTATGAAATCATTAGTTATAGTCATTCCAAAACAATGAAGATTCCGTATTTAAAAAAACGAAAGCAGTTGTTTAGATTCTGTATCATTATAATTTATAAACCTTGACAGCTTTCCAAACTAAAAAGATATAGTAAATAATACTGGTTACTAAGGCCTTAAAAGTCGTCAATGTAGATAATGATAAAACAAATATTTATATTTGAATATATAATTAGTTAAACTATCAGTACCCACTTACATTTTTAAGTACCATAAGATGATCAGTAAAAAATGTTAGTTCACTTTTGAATAATTCCCAAACTGCTTCACATCGACGAACTTCACGATCAGTCATTGTATTTTCCGAATTTCCACTTTTATCTAATTGTGACCAATGAGAATCCTGAATAAAATAGTAGTGAGCATTAAGAAAACAAAAAAAACATATACACTTAAGTAAATATTCAGGAAAGAACAGAAATGAAGATATTTTTCTATTTCAATGGCTTTTCATTATGTCACTATTACGTCACTATTTACATAGATTTACATATGAGAATGAAATTAATACTAACCAAATAATGAAAACTCTGTTTACACTGTTACATGCTTCTGAAGATTATAATAAATTAGTGATGCCTTCTCACGGTGAGGGTGTATTTGTACGAAACTGAGAGAACAAAACTGGGTTGGTAGACACGGAGAGTCTACATAGGGGAATCGGAAAACCCTGATTCCAAACTAGTGGTGCACATGGGCTACAGTATCCTGAAGGAAAAAACAGAGTGTGAACCAATCGTTGGGACTGTATCTCCTGGCGTTGCTCCACTTGTCCGATGGATTATACCTTTAGGTCAAAGGCTCTGGGTGTGGCCCCCTAAGAAAACCACTTGCGTCGGTTCTGGCATCTGGGCGGTATCCTAGCCCTCACACAAATCGAGTGATTTATGTGACGCATATCTATTTGGTGCCTCCATGTACCAATGTTTATTTGTTTGAATAAATAAAAAATATATGAAAAAACTGAATAGATTGGGTATAGTGTTTAGAAACATGATTTTGAATGAATACTATTGGAATAGGTTGTTAGATTAAGAAAGTTTAAAGAAAATCAGATGTCCTATACCTTATTGATAGGCAAATGATATCAATTTAATATGAATTCACATACTTAAGTGGTTATATGTAAAATTAATTTGACAACATAGATCATGTAAGTGCATATTAGATTCAGCTTAGTAAATGGAATCATTGTTTTCCAATGAAGTTTATAAATTCGCTACTATTCCATTCTATGTTTTTTTGTAACACCGTATTTAGTAGAACCGACGGAATAAAAGATTGTTTCTATTACAGTATTGCAATTTTCGTCTGTTCATCGATATACAAATGTTGTTGGCATTTAACTATTGAATAAGGTTTTGATTATCTGCCTATGAATCCTAACAAAGTGTGTTTTATTAAAAAAAACTCTTTAAACATTATATAGCTACTTTATTCTTATTGCAATACATGAGATTTGGCGCAACAAAGTGATCAATTAATTGTAAATACTTGTCATCCCTATATTAAGTCAGTCGTTGTTCGAATAGCTCAATAGTAGAGTTTCAAACTGCGAATCTGGATGATGCAACATCGAGTCCGTCAACAAGTATCAGGCCCCTAGAGATTACAGACATAATCTTCCGATGAGTACCAAATTGTAAGAAACCTAGAATTTCTGTCGACTACCTCCAATAAGCGTTTTACATCTAAATATAATGCTCTCGATGTCGAGTGTCATAGACTAGTGACCAGAATGCCATTTGATCAGTGGAATTCTATTAGCACCAAGAATGACTTGACCTACTCTATATTGGTCATAACCCAATTGTCTTTTTCTATTAATTAGTGTATTTAATCATTTATTTTTTTAATTCCATAAAAATAGTCCATTTTTGTTACCATTAACTAACTAGAATTTGATTTGTATCTTTAATATTATTAAGTTTACTGATCTTCACCATCTTATAACGAGTTTAAATGAAAACAATATAATTCAGTGGTACACAATTTGGGTTACTACACAAAAGAAAACATTATAATAATGTCAACAGAAAGGAAAAGTATAATAGAGGAAGTGATTATAGGGTAGAATGAGTAATTATCTGTATGAATAAAAAAATGTCGGTTAGAGATTTTGAGAAAATCTACTTCGAAATGTTCTAAGCCAAATACTTCCAAACTTCATTTGTATGATCATGGAATATGTTTCAGTAGATACAAACTTATATATTGCCAACTAAATAGCGTACGGGGGAGGCATTTAAAGTTATAGATAAGATGGTTACATTCGTTATTGATCAATGTTCGCATATCAGTTATCTAATATGTAAGGAGGAAAAAATGTTGAGATAGTATAGACACCACTGTAAAGTTATCCACGTCCCAATAATGATTTACAAAGGTTGATATTGATTTGAAGCCACATGTATAAGTTCGAATATAATGCTTTCATAAATTTACTAATCATATATAAGGTGTACATACTTTTTAATTATCTTCCATTTTCTATACATTTTTTGAATTGAATTATGCAGAAGGTTTAAGGTCCTTTAACACTTGCCCAAGTTTGTAACCATAGTACGGTTGTATCACTTTTTGGAAAGATTCATACTTTTGCTTCAAAGTTAAACAGTTACTCATTGGAAGAATTTCAGTAAAAATCATTCAGGATTTGTAAACTTTTCAAATGAATAACTTTAACAGTCTATCAACATTATATATGCCTATTATTAAAGCACATTTATTCCAATTGATGTCTTAGCTTCAACCAATCTACAGTATTTCGCGACAGTCTCCCATTGTTTGAGGTGAATAACTGCCTCACATCCAACACAGATTAGCTATATTGGTCACAGCTTCTAGTTTTTCAATGGTGATCTAACATTGATTAATTCATGATCTCAATCAAAACTCAACAAACTTTATAACCCTATACTGATGATGATATACCTATTTAGAGAATCCTCAATAAATCTGTCTGTCAACTGAATAAAGATCATTCTAAATCGCAACATATTTCAGTCTGACATATTTATATCTGGTTATCAAAACCCTTGAATGGATCTGTAAAACTCTTTATTTCATAACATTAAAAATCAGTAAGAAACTGTCCTGATGAATTTATTTGATATGTAATAATAATAATAATAATAATAATAATAATAATAATAATAATAATAATAATAATAATAATAATAATGGTTAATTATCAGTATAAAGGTTTACCGATACTATTTAATGCTATTGATATTAACAACTGATTCATTTTACACAATGATTGAAAACAAACTGGCATTAAATATCTGTTTCATCTCAATATATTGAACTTCCCAACTGTACACAGTTATAACCTAACTATGGGTCGAACCAAGGACCATCAGCTCACTAATTATCTTTAATTTATTGTAGCTAAACATGTACACCAATCAATGTCTGCTTAATAGTTTAGAGCTTTAGAATTCACTGAGAAACTGGAGGCTCTAGATTGATACCCAATAAAGTCAACCATGTTCATTGAGAAAAACAAACAAAGTCCTATACTAGGAAGAAACAACTGTCTAGCGTTCCCAGATTTTCAATGAATTACTAACTCAGGTCATTTCATGATAATAGTAATAATAATAATAATAATAATAATAATAATAATAATTTAACCTAACTAATGAATCTTATTTTAACCAACTTTATTATTGTTCCCATTTAAATATTAACATGACATGATAATATAAGTACAAAATGAATAGGGACATTTCTATTCCTATCTTATTTCATTACATATTAAGGGTATTTTAGTTTATTATTTTTTTTTGTTTTTTTTTCTTAAAAAAAAAGAATTTTTATAATGAGAAAATATTTGTTGTTAAATGAAATTATTAAATTAACCTACAATGAAATTAAAGTTGAAAGAAAGGTCATCTGTAAATTGATCTGAACACATACACACACATAGTTACACATACATGCACGTACGCACGCACGCATGCATGCACGCACACATAGCCATAGTGATAAGGGAGAGAGAGAGAGAGTATAGAATATATCAAAAGGAAATCATATTGAGTATAAGTGAAGGGAGAGAAAGAAAAAAAACAATAACTATGTTTTGTTCGTTATATTATTACAAGAGAAAAAAAATGAGGTCAATTTATTTATGGGTGGGTGTTGTTTTTTTTTTAGTTTTTTTATCGAATGCTACGTTTGTACTTTTAATAATTGATATCTACTAGGAGAATATTTTGAAACGACACAAGAATGGAAATATTTTGTTTCTATTTTTTATGAGGTATATACAAAATAATTGAATAAGATAACATTGTCATTATCATGTATTATGTTTTAATATAGTAGATGAATTATTGTTAGATACCAGTTAGTTTTTGGTGTAGTTTTGTTCTCTGAGCTGGATGGTTTGGTCGTGTATTTCTCTTCATTTTTTCGTGCTGCCAGTGTGCTACAGTGTGTCCTCGCCCTCTTGAACAAAGTGTGTACGCAGTTGATTTTGTGGGCTCTTGGGTTGTTGCTATTGTAGTTGAGGATTTGACCTGTATGGGTCAGTTTCCTATATACTTGAGTTTCCAGTTTTCCTGTGGCGGTTCTAGTGATCAATATATCCAAGAATGATAGTTTGTTGTTTGACTCCTGTTCCATCGTGAACTTGATATCATCGAAAACGTTGTTGATCAGTTTGTAAGTATTTTCCAGCTCATTCTTTTTGATGATGACGAAAGTGTCGTCTACATAGCGAATCCAAATTTTTGGCTTGATCACTGGTAGTATCGCGGCTTCTAGTCTTTGCATCACTGCCTCTGCGATCAGTCCTGATATTGGTGATCCGATTGGTGTCCCTTTTGTTTATTCGTAGATTTTGTTGTTGAATTGAAAATATGTTGTTAGACATAAATCGATGAGTTCCAGTAGACTTTGAATTTGAAGCTTCGTGTATTTAGTGAGATTTGTGTCGTTCTTGAGCAGCAGGGATATAGTTTCTTTTGCTAATTTTGGTTCAATTGAGGTGAATAGTGCTGTTACGTCGAAGGATATCATTAGTTCTTCGTTGTTGATTTGAATGTCCTTAATTTAGTCCAGGAATTGTGTGGGGGATTTGATGGAGTGGTTGGCTGAATCTACTAAATGTCTCAGTATTTTCTTTTGACAGGTTGTACGTTGGCGTTCCGGGGAGTGCTACAACTGGGCGTAGTGGAATGTTTGGTTTGTGTATTTTGGGTCTGCCGTAGAATCGAGGGAGTACTGGTCCATTGAATTTCATTCTCCATTGGTCTTGTTTTGTTATTTCTCCTGCTTTGACTAGCTTGTTTAAAGTCTTTGACATCTGGTTGTCTAATTTTTTGACGGGATTCGTATCCATCACGACCAAACATCCAGCTCAGAGAACAAAACTCCACCGAAACCATCCACCTGAGCTACAAATCTTCTCCACCATCTCGATACCAGTTAGTATAGTTGTTCGATTGTTGTTCCATAGAAATATTAAAGAATCTGGTATAAATAATCAAATCACAGGTGTAATATTGAAGGATATAATGAAATTAAATGTTAAGCGTTTGCACGCGAAACCGAAGGTCTTAAGTTTGGATCCCGCGAGCGGGATCATGGATGCGTACTGCTGAGGAGTCCCATACTAGGTTAAAACAGCCATCCAGTGCTTGCAGTTTTTCCATGGTGGTCTAGCTTTGATTGACTCATGAATTCAACTATACTCATGAAGATATTCTGCACACTATGAGCTGAATAATCATTAGGATGATTACAATTATAAACCTGAATGATGTAATAGCAACAACTTGTATCTAACATCATCACATTGTTTGCTGAATTCAACTACGTATTTATTCTTGCTATTTTATGCATGAATTTTTCGATTAACTGTCACAATCTATATATTATAAACTGTTGAGTTCTGTCTATTGATGTCATAATAATCCAATATCAGTTCAATGATTCGAAAAAAAAACAAGTAACTTTTGAGTATTACATAAATAATATGAATATGAACTTTTTATAAACGAAAACTAGCATTTTACATATATCAATTCATAACACAAAATTAACTTAATTTATGCATCAGTGGTTTTGTATCTTTTATGAAATGGTGAAAAACAATATTATGTCAATCTTAAATCATCAATTCCAAAGATATTGAACACTGGACGATCGATTCGTCTTAGTATGGTCTCGCGTGAGACCGACAGACCACTGGGCCGGAGTTCGCACGAACGACCGAAATTCCTGGGTTCGGACACCCAGTGTGGTATCGTGGGTGAGTACTGTTAAGGATTCCCATACTAAGACGAAACGGCCGTTCATTGCTTTCAGGTTTTCCATAATGGTCTAGTTTCAATCGACTCATGAATTCAACCATTACTTTACTACAATCTCCATAAAATCCCTTTTTGAAAATATTAAACATTGAAATAAACATTTGTTTTTAGTAACTTCATTATTATGATTAACAGTTATTATATTCTGTTAATAAACGACACAATAAGATATGTTTATGAATTAGGCAATATTGTGTTAAAAACGATGTACTTTTGTATTTATTACTTTAAAAATGTGTGTCATTTGTAAAATAGGAAATTAATTTAAATAAGGTCAAAATGATTCGTTGAAAGATATCAAGTTACAATCAAAATGATAATAAAATATATCGTCTGAACAAAATGCATAGTAGGAGAAGTTTATTGATGTAATAGAGGTTATAATAATATCATATAAACATATTATAAATAAGTGAGGTATTGGCATGGTAACTATGATAGGAAATTCATGAATGAATGTATAAGTTAAGAACGGAACAGGTGAGAAGTAAACATAAAGGGGTTTACAAAGTTTATTTTATGTATACAGTGATCCAGCGGTGGACCGAGACAAATATAGAGTTTGAGTTGATCCCGGTAGTTTCAGCTACGTAGAGAATTCATATTCGTGTTCCTTTAGATAGATTGTTTGGGATTTGATATAAAACAAAGTAAGTTTCCTCCATTTTAATACGATGCTTACTATTTACCAAATGAGGACGGATGGCGCTGTTAATAGACTTATTAATACCATTCCCCAACCCTTCTGGTATATACACCCGAGTACTCAAGGATAAAGCCCTTTGAGTACGGCCTATGTAACTAGCTCCAGTGGATTAGTTAAGACTGTATACGCACATGAAGAAGCCCGTCATCATTAACCTATCTTTGATACGTTGTACATGTACTGCGAAGATCGCATGTAACTCAGGGACGCTAAAGGTTCTTCAATAAATCTTTTAATTAAATGTGTTTAGATGTTACCTGCTTTTTCCTTTTTAAAATCAAGTTCAAGATAAAGGGCTTTCTTCCTAACCGCCTGACAGTTTGCCCCATTTTCCTGTCCCGAAAAATATTTTTTGACGGAATTATATAGTGTATTCTTTAGTTTATTCGCTTCACCATTTTCAGTATCTTGAGGACACAATAGTCTGTTCTATGGCTGAGATACCAAATCAGATTTAGTTTGTGCTGAAGATGTGTAAATCAGTGAAAATAGGTGGAATAACCAATACACTTTCCTAAATAAATTTCCATTAATGAAACGGTCTATCTGTTAGGAAAAGAGGATATCAATGGGAGATATATTTTTATCAAGTCTGTGATGTAAACCATTTCCAATAATGTTGTCAATGTGCGTCTCTACAGTTCTTATTCTAATATACAGTAACGTAAATATTAGAAAAAAACTGTCTTTCAAGTAGACCACTGAAAACCAAGAATTATTGAATGAGAGTTTCTTTCAAAATAGAAGTATCTTGAAAGTTTACATTTAGGAGGCTTATATTAAGTTAAAGTAAAGCCTTTAGGTCTTCTTTTAACTGTTCTATTATTCAATAACAAATTTAACGATTTTTGATATAACTAAAATAAATGATACTTCAAACGTGAAAAAAGAAACCAGATTTAGAGGATGTGAAAAAGACAATAAAAGATGATGACCTCCAAAAACAAGATAAAGACTTATTAATTATTTTTTTGATTGAGATCACGAATCGATTAACGTTAGACCAGCATTGAAAACCTGGAAGCACTGGACAGCCGTTTCGTCCTATTGTGGAACTCCACAGAAGTGCGCATCCACGATCCCACTGGTGGGATTCAAACACAGAACCTCCTGTCATGCTTGCGAACGCTTGACATCTAGACCACTGAACTGGTCGGCATCCAACAGTGTTAATGTCTAACTTCAACGAATCCACGAGATTACGCGATCATCTGCTATTGTACTGAGGCAGATACCTGTCTCTACCCGACACGGATTAGCTTTACTGGTCACGGCTTCTTAATAGAACTCCTAGAATTTATGGATTGATTGAAGCTAAACACTAACACCGTTTGATGTCGATTAGCTCAGTGGTCTAAAGGTTAAGCGTTCGCGCGCAAGACATGAGGCTCTGGGTTCGAATCCCGCCAGTGGTATTTTAGATGCGCGCTGTTGAGGAGACCCATAATAGGACGAAACGGCCGTCCAGTGCTTCCAGGTTTTCAATGCTGGTCTAACATAAATCAGTTCATGATCTCAATCAAAAACGTAATAATCTCCACAAACCCATATTGATACTCACGAATTAAGTACACCTACTAATATAAAGAATTTATTGTTTTTTTGTTTGTGTACTGAGGAGTCTCACAATGGGACGAAACGGCCGTCCGGTGCTTCCAGGTTTTCCATGGTGGTCTAGCTTCAATTGAATCATGATCTCAACTGTTAAAATTATTATTGTATAATTGAAGTGGTGTAAATAAATCTGTATTTTACATTGGAATTATGTAAATCAATGTTACATTGAATGAATGTTTCATTGACTTACGACAATAAATTATTGAATATAATTAGTAATGAAGAAGAATTGTGATGATTGAAAAAAAAAACACAAAATGAATAAATAATCGCTACTTTCATTTAATTTAGCTATTAGTTTGATCATAATACAATCTGATTTGTAAATATGTAATCTACCAAAGATCATGTATACTAGAACAATCATCTTGCAATACCCTCCATGCACTTCCCACGAGGATATTCACTTTAAAACGTTAAATATTTCATTTAATAATGTAGTATATAAATTATTGTTTCCGGATAACTGGTTGGATAATAATGAGCCATTCTATAACTCATTTATCAGGCTATATAAACTTGAATACATTTATGATATATCAAGTACTCTAAAGAAAAATATTATTCACTTACTCTAAATGATTCTAGATATTGATCATGAAAATATGATGGTTTAAGTGATTGTAATGCCTCGTTTAAATCTTTGGAACGTGTACCTCGTTCAATCTGAAAATAAAAAAAATAATTTGTTTCCGTTAGAGACCGAAACCTTCTTTTTTTACCTGAAAGTTGTTGAATTCAAACATTTTTTTCAACGAAAACATATTTGTGTCAAAAAGATCATTATAATTAATGTTTGTTTCAGTGTACGAATGGTATTTGATCATTTTGAGATGGTTGAGAAAATGTTTAGCTCAAATGAATGATTTAGATATTTTCTTCTATGAACTGGATGATTTGGTCGTGAAGCTTCCATTGTTCAGAAGAACGAAATCTATAGATGGTCAGATAATTGCCATAGATGTAATCAAGTTCATTGATAGATTCTCTAGAAGGTTGTAAGTAAAATGGACAAAACTCTAACGGGGATTTACCGTTCAACTCACACTTTATTGTGATAATTAATTGCAGCTCGGGTTTGTTAAACATTTGTATCAAGATAGTGAAACTTCATACAGTTTAGTCTAGTATTTGTATATCTAGTATTCTCAACAAGATATTTTATCAGTGAGGAATATTTGTCTTTGTGAATACATCGAGAACAGTTATATTCAGATAACAATCGACTACTCTGATTACATTTACAATCACATAGTTAATATTTCTACCGTATCATTTAGAAAAATTCTCAGGACAAATATTTGTTATTGGTTTCTCTAAAGTAATCTAGCTTCCAATATGTATCGTATACAGGTATCTATTTAGAAATATCCATGAAGCAATATGTACATTGGAGTTGTAAATTTCATATCGCGAAAAGTCTACTACAGTTTACATAGACTATCAGCTACTAATATTGTTATAACATATCAATTGAATGCTACTTGTTATAACTGGTCATCGCTGATTGTTATGTCGAAAACGCTTATCACTTATACTCGAAACGAGGGACCTCCGCAGTTCTTACGATGCGAAAGTAAGAACACAAAGACTGGTATAAGTGATGATTTATGAACCCCCAAAACACGACGATAACGACGACGACCATAAAACAGATATAGAAGTCAATGATATAAGGCATCCACATATTTGCATCGGTAGTATTTTTTTCGCCTAGATGCGTAGCGGTGTTCATTTGTTATGTAGTACCAATTAAAAGTGTATACTGAGAATAAGAAAAGTGTCGTAGAGTCACAAGATCAAGACATCGTTCAATTATCTTGTGTATAGATAACCTCCCTTTAACAATTGATCAGTAAAAGTGCAATATCTAGCATTTTTAAAATAGTTTTACGTTTATTTGATAGGTGACTGAAGGATATAAGAGCATGATTTTCAATCTTCTAAAGTTGTTAACATATCATCCATGAACACAACACTGTGGTATATCTCAACTTGACGAATTCAGTGAGTATATAATGCAAAAAGATTTGAAATGAAATCTCTATTGATAATATACCTTAATATCCAAGATTCAGTCACTAAATGAACAGAAAAATGCTAGATATTGTACGCTTATTGAACACTGAAATGTAGATATCCTGCAAGATTACGGACATGTACCCTCTCTTTATAAATTAAAATCAAAATGATTCTTACTTCACCAATATCCAATACATTATCTTCAGTCATTTTGATAATGGATTAATTAAGCTTTATTTATTACATCAAGTTGAATAAACTAAGGAAGAACTGTTTAAGCTTTGACAGATATTGTACATATTTGCCATGAACGGATGAATATGATAATAATCATTTGATTTAATACTATACAACTAGAACATTAGCCACTTCTCAGCATAAAGATAAATGGTTTAAAATAAATAGAATGGTTTTAGGTTACTAAAGTGTACACGAGATCTTTTGAAACTTTCATTTTCAAGTATTTCTATAATAAATTCATTTTCAGTTCACTATTAATAATAACATTACTCTTTAGTAAGCAAAGATAGATAGTGGTAGGCAATGAACTCCAGGACACGTGTTACGTCCTATTTGGATCTATTTTCATCTCAGTGTCGATGTACACTCTAGGACACGAACCCACTACCGTTCGCTACAAACGTCATCGCTTTATCTACCTAGTTACTGAGTTCTGATAACCAATTGTTTGTACAATGGGGTGAAGTTTAAATTCACTTTGCATTGTTTACATCAATCTTCACATTGATGTTTAGTACTACAATGGATCAGTCTGTTATTAGCATATGTGCATCCTGTGCGTATTCCCTTTAATTACTTACGTTTTGTCGACATCATTTTATAAGAACAAAAATATGTTTTTTTCGTCATTATTCAAAATCAAATTGAATTATGTGAATAAGGTTGTTTTGTTTTTGTATGTTTGTCAACTTACCAGTTTCATAAAAACATTAGCTCTTCTTTTCAATTCTATGGAGAAACAAACAAACAAATAAGGAAAGATTATATTATTAATGAATGAAAGATAATGAATAGATATTGTATAATAATGAATAACTAATGAAAACCATAAGAATATTACATTGAAGTAACCATTTGTAATGCTTATTAAAGTAAGTCAATTAATTAGGTATAGTATTCAACTAGTTAATCAATGTTATAAGAGAATGTGTTCATCATTGATTAACAAAAGAAAGAAAGAAAGAAGTGAAGTTAATGAATGATATACTTGATTCATTCATTATATACTTATAAACACAATTGGTATCATGGATTTAGTTAGAACAGTAAAGCGTAAAAAATCACTTATAAAAGTATATATATATATATATATAAGATCTATTATATTCAGTATTCACTTCAGTATTGTTCTAATAGGAAATGCTGAAATTCAAATAAAAAGTAGTATACAATGATTAATAATAACAATCAATGACAAGTTGTTATGCAATTGAATAAGCTAAAGTATTTGAATATGATAAATTGAGTTGACACTATCAGCTTTGGAATTTAAAAATTACTCAACTTGTAGTGAACGAGAACGAACAAGTAGGGACATCAAAATTACAAAATGCTCTAGTTAAATCTGCTGACCATACAGTAAATAGTTCATTTGCAAAAAAATGAATATCAATCAATCAATTGTCTCAGACTTCACTATTCCTTTATTTCCACAGAAATCATTCTTTATTCTCATTCACTTTTCTTTAATTATTTTAATTTTCTACTTTCAAGTATTTCACTTTCAACTAATAATACATACTACTTATATCTGTTGACATCAGTAGTACACACCACAAACTAATTGTAATCAACGCTAACATTAGTGTTATATATATTGGACTATATGTAATTAAAGAAATAATTAATTTCTAACAAATTGAGGAACAATACAAAATGCAAAAATCATCCTTATAATCATTTTTTTATATTTAGAAAAAAAAAGAAATAAGAAGCCGGAATTGTTACCATGGTAATAATGATAAAAGATAACAAACAAAAATCATACTGTGAAATGTTCTAACGTCAATCAACTAGCCAAGCAACTTGATATAGGTAATTTAATGAGATAATAGATTATTATTTAATGCAAATAAGATTGAATGAATTTCCATTTTATAGTTAATGAATGAGTGTTTTATGTAATAAATCTACATAAGATAATTGTAATTACAATTTTATAATTAAATAATTGGAATATTAGATATAACTATTATATTGAGTATACTATTCAATTTCAAGCTGTGAACAGATATTTATAGATAGTGTCAAAAATTTATAAATGTCAGTCACTTATAACATAGGACCAGGCATATATATGTATCGGTTCAACTTGCCGTTACCTCATTAGCACAACAAGATGAACAGTGGATTCATAGAAGTAGTTAATTCAATGGTGATAATATATAAAAGAAAGAAAGAATTAGGAAGAAAGTAATTTTGATCTCATAGTTTAAGGGAAGACAAAGAGTGTATATTTAGTAACCCGTGGATCTGACTCCTATTTAGATCGTATAAATGATTGTTATCGCCTTTTCTCGTATATCATCGTCGACTTAAATCACGTTAGTCAATAACGAAACTAAATAAGTCAAATAACGAGAATTGACCTACCTGTGCATACACATATTTTGTATATGAAGCGAATGAAACAGAACAAAGCAAAACGACACGCAGGGAAGATGGCTGGGAAGCCAACTCCGTTTTAGTCAACCGTTACTCAATATTTATAGTCCGACAAAGTAAAGCTACAGACATGTGATTAGTGGGATAAGAAGGGCACACACATATACGCTCATATAAAAACAGTCTAGATTGATAAGCGAATAAATAACAAGGTCAAAGTATGGCTCAAGTAGAATGAATAGAATGGGATGTCCGAAAACTAGAATAAGATATATGGGCTTAGCATAATAACTGACACTACATATACACCTATGTCATTGTGACTGATTCTGAGCTATGTCACTCAGAGTCTCCAAACATTGGTTAGGATAGTCACGGGGACCTTAACCAAGTTGTATGTATCTACTTATATGACCCAGGCTAGAAGTTAGTGTCTTCAATGACTGATGACAAGTTTTGGTTTGGCCAATCCTAACTTTCTTCTAGCCGTCTACAACATTAGTCATATCATGAAGATATTTATCAAAGCGATGATGATAATACTTAGTTTACTGTCCTTTAGAGATATGAATTTTTTAAAAAAAAAGAACAAAGAGATGAATAAAAACATTTAAAGTGTTGATTGAACACTTGATGGATGCCGTTTGTTGAAGTTTCCAGGTAAATTTAGCGAAATGTTATTGTTAATTAAAATATAGATTACAGCGATAATAGTAAGCAAATAGTTTTTTAGATTCAGGTAACAGTTATTCAGTTTCATAAATGTTCATATATTCCTATCGAAAACTCTGATAAGAGAATAATAATATTCAGTTTCATCTATACAAACCAAACTTTTGTTAAACATTAAAAAAATGGGTCAAGCTATTTATCCATTTTTTTCGGAGATCAGTAAGCGTATAGGGATCTGGCATTTTAGGACATTTTTCCGTTCATTTATTATGTGGTTCATAGAAGAGTTTAATTTTATATCATGCTCTATTTTTTTTCAGCCAGCATATTGGGCTGTGCCACGTTAACGAATTCATAATAGACAGATATGGATAACTTTATAGTTGGATTCATGAGTCAATTAAAGCTAGACCAACATTGAAAACCTGGAAGCACTGGACAACCGTTTCGTCCTAGTATGGAACTCAGTATCAACTTAGTAGTCTAGAGGTTAAGCGTCCGCGCACGAGACTGACAGATCCTGGGTTCGAATCTCACGGGGCGGGATCGTGGATGCGCACTATTGATGAGCTCCAAACTAGGATAAAACAGTCATCCAGTGCTTCCAGGTTTTCCATGATGGTCTAGCTTTAACTAACTCATGAATTCAACTATAAAATTACTAAAATCTCCACAAAACCCCTTTCTGATAATAGATATGGATAACGTAAAATAGATTAAGTGAAATCTTAAGTAGAAGTAGTACACCTTTTTTACGTAAAATGAATGAATGACCTTACACAAAACTAGTTTAATCAATTATAATTTCTGATTTATAGTAAATCTTCATTTATCGTTTACTGGTTTTTACTTTGGTCGTGGTATTTACAGTTTTCAGTGTTAAACTTCACTTTTCTGTCGCTATATGCAACATTTTTGTCTTCATATCTACACTAACAATATGATTGATTATGTTTCGTCGATATAGATTTTTTCTAAGTTAAAGTGATTTAAACAATAAGCTTTTAGTTTGTGATTAGGATCTCGTTTTACTCAGTTGGTCCAACTCCAATATTGATATTAGATTTTATTTATTTAAACACATAAACATTGGTACATAGAAGCACCAAATATATGTGCGCAACATAAATTATTCGATTTGTGTGAGGAGTGGGATACTGCACGGGTGCCCAGATCAAAGCCGTTGGTTTTCTCAAGGAGCCACTCCCCGAGTCTTTGATCTGAAGACAATGAAGAAACGTAAAGAGATGTCATCTCATATGAAGCGGTTACTAACAATAGGTTCATGCTCAATTTGTCCCCTCTGGATCTTGGAGCCCATGTGCACTATTGATTTGGAATCAGAATTTTCCAACTCCTCTAGGTAGATCCTCTATATTCATTCGTGAATAACACCCCTACCACAAGAAGGCAGTGAGTAGGACTTCCCTGACAGTGATTGTATGCACGTGATCATATGAAATCATTTCGACAAGGAAAGCTAACTCTCCCCACTCTCAGTCGAACTAGGGCATTTGGGTGTATCAATATTAGAAATCAAATATGTCAAGGGAAAATGATTGTATTCAATTGTTAATAATCAAATAACAATGCTCATTAAATAAATGATATTTATAATCAAACATATACCTATATACTAGTTAATCAATAATATAAATTATAACTGAGTCTAACAACAACTGTTTCTTTTTAATTTCCTTAATCCAATAGATTGTTGGTTGGTTGTTGGTTTTCTTTTGTCTTCATTAAGTTATAATAAATATTTAAATTATAATAATTAAAATGACTAAATAAATTATAATATAAGTTTACCATAATCTTGATTTGTATTGGTGATTTGATTACGACAACTTAAATCGGATATAGTATTCTGTTTACGTAATATTCTTTTTTGTCGTTCACGAAATGAATTCACTGATGATGTAATTGGTGGACGATCTTGTCCAGTTTCATTTAAATTTCTAAAAATAAAATGCAATAAATACAGAGGAAAAAAATAGATGATACTCTTCTTGAAGTTATAATTTTAAAAAAAGCGAACAAACATTGAAATATCAACTTGAAAATCAAGAAAAACTACTTGAAAAATAACTTTGCCTGGAGCCCCTCGGGGGAAACTGTCGGTCTCGAGCCCGGATAAAGAAGGAGTGTTGGATATGGGATTAGCGAACCCATCCCGTATAAAACTAACTCACCAAGAACAAAACGCTAACCAGAAAACGCTTGAAAAATATTCATCGCAGTCAAATTGAATGCTGTTCTTATAATTATCCTACATTGGAAGTTGTCAGTAAAGAGACTGTCTGAATTCATCACACTGATGTATGTTTATCAATTTACTTTCTCTTTCGGTATCAGTTATATAGGGAGTATAATTCGGCAAGATAGTCATTGTATTGTAGAATACCATTCAGACAGGTTAAACGAAGGGTGAACAAAATGAATGAAATGAAAGCTAATCCATATACTTCACATAAATTTTCTAAGAAAACTGATATTCAGTTCATTTAGACATATTATAGTGTTTTGTCTTAATAAATAGTATATTAATTTCAATGGCTGAGATCATGAGTCAGTTGAAGCTAAACAACCATGGAAAACCTGGAAGCACTGGATGGCCGTTTCGTCCTATTGTGGGACTCATCAGCAGTGCGCGTCCACGATTCCGCCCCCCCCCTGAGATTTGGACCCAGGACTTATCAGTCTATTAATTATATATGGTATTTAGATATGTCAGTGTCAATTGACTTATTACATTATGACTTATCCTTAGAAGTTAATGTAACTTATTGCCATTAGGTTGATGCTGTGTATATGAATGAAAATGAAAGCTACTTCCAAATTAAACAGCTTTACCATTTTTTTTACACTTTATGAAAAATAATACTAGTATTAACCATACTATTTTATCTAATAAGTGAATTTTATGTCAATTTAGTTATTTTTTTAGTTATTTGAGTATGTCTATTGTAAATAATGAATAAGTTTCCTAGTATAATCATCTTTAAGAGTGACATAAATTGATTCCATTTCTGTATAAATAGCTAAATTAAAAACAAACTACTAAGTAAACTAGAAAGGGGTTTTGTGGATATTATAGTAATTTAATAGTTGAATTCATGAGTCAATTAAACCCAGACCATCATGGAAAACCTGGAAGCACTGGATGGCCATTTCGTCCTATTGTAGGATTCTCCAGTAGTGCGCATTCATGATCCCGCCCAGCGCGATTCGAATCTAGGACTTATCAGTCTCGTGCGCGAACGCTTAACTTCTTGGCCGTTGAACCGGCATCTAACGGAATTAATTTCTAACTTCAACCAATCCACAAAATTGCTCCACAGTCCATTATTGTTTTCAATTAGTTACTATCTCACAACAGACTCGATTGAACTCCACTGATCACGTCTTCTTACTAAACAAATGTCTTGTCGTTTACTTTAGTTGTCTAACGTGATTTGATAGAAAAAACCTCATCTCGATTGAACGCTCACTAAACCACTATTCTGTGATAGTAATCTAAAATTGGCAAAAATGTTGATTTTTGCCATTACATACACAATACCAGGTGCATACACCTATGTTTATTCATTTTAACGAAGATGATAAATTTTACGGGAAAAAATATCTGTAAAAGCTTTATCTCTCTGTTTTTTTCTCTTCTACAACATTCAGTAATTATCCAGTTCTAGTGATAATGTACTTATTTTGTTTTCAATTTGTCGAATGAAAGTACTTTTTTCAGTTTATTTTTTCTTCGCATTAAAATCTTCAGTTCTATAAATAAAACAACTTGGTTATTTAAGATAAATTCAGTCACTCAGCTAAAACGTAGGATCAGGCACATAAATGCATAGGTCCAAGTTGCCATACCACATTAGCACAGCAAGTTGAACACCGGATTCGTAAAAGTAGTTAATTCAGAGGTGATAACATGTAAAAGAAAGATTTCATATAAGGATATAGTACAGAAAGAAAGAATTAGTTCGTAGAAAGAAAGATAGAAAGCGATTTTAATCTCAGAGTTCAAGGGAAAAAATAGAGTGTATACATCTATGTCATTGTGATTGATTCTGAGCCATGTCACCCACAGTCTCCAAACATTGGTTACGATAGTCACGCGGACCACAACTAAGTAGTCTGCATCTACCAACATGGCTCAGACTAGAAGTTAGTGACTTCAGAAACTGATGCCACGTTTTGGTTTGACCGCCCCTAACTTTCTTCCAATCACCTCCAACACTAGTCAGCATTGCGCGTCGTGGCAATCGGTGTTCGGGCATAGGTAACACGTGACCCAACTATCTCAGTCGATGAAGATTCACAACCTCATCAACTGATTTACCATCATTCCCTAATACTCCGCGTCTAACCTCTCTGTTACTTACCCGGTGATCCCAGAAGATGCGGGCAATATTTCTAAGGCATCTGTGGTCAAATACTAGTAGCTTACGAGTGTCTTCAACTCTTAATGGCCATGTTTCGCCGCCGTAAAGTAGAACGGAACGAACTGCCGCGCAGCATACTCGTCCCTTAATTGATAGACGGATATCTTGCCTTCGCCATAGGTGACATAGGTTGGAAAAGCTAGACGAGCTTTTCGAATCCGTGCTGAGATTTCGTCAGACACCGACCCATTAGAGCTGACCAGACTTCCAAGATAAGTGAAGTTGTCAACGCGTTCGACTTCACCACTCCCTATCCTTAGTTCCGGTGTTGACCAGTAAATTAATGACTTACCAATAATTGAAGATGTTACACTTTAACGAATAATCACTAGGTCTCATGTGTACAAACAATTTTTTCATGTACATTATTAAGATTATTGTTAATATGGATTATGGATATTGTAAAATTTAATTAAAATCACGAACTGATCCATGTAGGACAGCCTATGTAAACCTAGAAGTACTGGATGCCTGTTTCAGCTTAGTAAATGGGCATCCACGACTGTATGATGATTACATTACTATGATTATTAATATTATTATTATTACTTTCATATAAACTATCGATCTGAATCAGTTTTTAAATGTTCCAACTCTATCATACTACTCATTATAAATTTCAAAAGCTTGTATATTCATTCAAATAGTAAATGATCAAGGATTTATTATCAGTCATTTTTATACATATAAACCATTAACTAATGTATTAACATAAACTTGGTGTTGTTTTTACTTATTTCTTCCCATTGTTATTTAGGACTGCAATTGATCAGTCTCATGTTGGCATATGTGCATCCTGTGCGGATTGCCTCGATATTGCCTTAATTCACAAGCTTTTTAAGCAAAGATGGATAGTGGCTAGAAGTGGATTCCACATACAATTAATCAATAAAGAAAAAAACAACAACTGGAAACTGGAAATGACTGAAACAGATTGATCATAAACACTATATGGACAATATAAGAGCACAATAAATTTACTGAAACATAAACAATCGTGTATAAGGTAGACAATTTACATTTTATCTATTATGTCAAATGTTTGCTTCAAAATCTCCCCTTATTATTATTATACATATGTAAACTAGTACAGGAAATGTATCCATTATATTGTTTTTGTTGTTTAATAGAAACGTTTGTTTTCAATGAAATATATGCATTATTTTCAGAAGGGGTTTTGTGGAGATTTCAGAAATTTCACTGGTTGAAATCATGAGTCAATTGGAGCTAGACCACTATGGAAAACCTAGGGAAACTGGACGGACAACTTGTTCTACTATGAGACTCCTCAACAGTGCACATCCGCGATTCCCAACGCAGGACTCAAACCCAGAACCTTCGGTCTCGTGCGCGAATGCTTAGTCTGCAGACCTCTGAGCTCACATCCAACGGTAATAATGTTTAACTTAATCAATCCATGATCATGCGCAACCCTTCATCCATTGTCTGAAGTGGATAACTGCCTTCACCCAACATGGATTCAACTCGATTGGTTACGGCTTCTCACTAGAACTCCAATAAATCCATCTTGAAGTTAGTCACTAGTGGGCACATGAATATTATCAGAATGTGAATTTGTAAAGATTGTATTTCATCGTATATTATTGTTTTCTCTACAATTCCGTGGATCAGTTGAAGTTAGAGATTAACACGATTGGATGCCGGCTCAGTAGTCTAGTGGTTAAGCGTTTGCACGCGAGATTAATAGATTTTTGGTTCGAATCTCACCTGGGGCGGTATCGTGGATGCGCATTTCCGAGGAGTCCCACACTAGGACGAAACGGTCGTTCAGTGCTTCCAGGTTCCCCATGGTTGTCTAACTTTAATTGACTAATGATTTCAACCAGTGATATATATTATTTGTTAGTAAGATATGTATTGGTGGTCTGATATCTGACTTCAATTGGATCGTATGAATGTTATTGATTGCTATTGAAATATATATCCCGTCTAGCGTTGTATAATAATTATCGACTTAAATCACGTTAGTGAATAACGGAATTAAATAAGTTAAATATGAGAATGGATGTTTGAATACGTATATTTTGTACACTCATTGATCTGGACAGACAATTAGAGGAATCAAGCGAAGAAAAAAGAATGAAGCGAAATGACGAGCAGTTGAGAATCAAATGAACTAACTCGATTTAATCAAGCATGAATTGATATTTATAGTCAGATAAAAACAAGCTATAGACAAGTGATGAATAAGATAAGAAGTGTACCTACATACGCTTATATAAAAAGTAGTCAAGTTTGATAAGTGAAAAATCAACAAGGTCAAAACGTGACTCAAGAAGGATGGATAAATTAGCCTGTCCATAAGCTAGAATATGTTATATGGGCTTAACATACTAACTAATACTGTATATTCAATTCATTATACTTACTTGTTAATATTTTGTGAAATGGTTGTAGTGTCTTGATTTTCAACTTCTGTTTCACCGATCAAATTCTGTTAAAGAAAATAGAAGTGAAGTGAAGTATAGTAAAGAGAAAGAAAATCAGAATCAATTTTTATTTTAGTTAGAATTTATTAGAAATATTCATAAAAATATAAATGAAACGCATGTAGTGGCTTGGCTTCTAGATAATTCCTTAGGTTTTATTTATCAATCACCTTGATAACTGTCATTAAATAAATCCCAACAGTGTTTGAATTCAGAATGCAATACAAAGTGACGATTACAGTTCATTATTGGATAGCACATATAGCAAACTTACATGCACATCGAGTGCCTTGGAACAGAGAGTCTAATTTGCGCAAGCAAATGAATATAGAAGGGGATTCACAGTTAAATCAAATTGATTTGAACTGACATGAAGTATAGGAAAGAAAATGATTCAAGGAGTGATATTTAAGTAAGGTAAATTGAATAATAAGTGTGTAGGCTGTTACATGTGATTAAGAATATACGTTTATACAAACATAATAGTAAAAAGAAATAGACAAATTATTACTATTCGAATAACATTATCTGTTAAATAATTAAAGGGTTTAACAAGATTAATTATAAATAAAATGAATTATAAAACAGTTGCTATAGGCACGTTTAAATAATCGTTCAGTATTAAGGATGAATTCTTAATATTAAAACAAAGTATCTGGATATCATTTATAGCTTATCCTAATAGTGATAGCTAGGATTATAACTGGTATAACTGTGACTGCAGATTAGACGGCAGCAAATTATCGATCGGATCAATGACACGTAAAACCGTACGAGCAGTCTAGAGTTCGGATTGGTCCTGCTTCCTCTCTAGCCCAGCCAGTTGAGTTCAGAACACAAGTCTCAGCCTCTGAGATATAAATCATTATATTTCAAGCATACTGAGTTTTTATATACCAGTCAAATCGACCACAACGTACCACTAAAATATGAAACAACATTTGTACAAGAATTAGTCAGATGTGTCTGTGAATGAGGGAGGTAGCGATTAACAGACAGGGAATAATTCATGAATGGTAAATCGTATAATAATAGTTCATAGGTCAAAATAAAGCTCATAATAAGAAGGGCATGAATATAAACAGTTTAGTTACATAACAATTATACGATAAATATATACTAATAATATTGGTCCACAAATGGATCCCAAAAGTTACCATTCATTATTCCTATCGGGATACAACAATAACCTAGTACATTAATATATATTGATTTATTTAGTTTTTCATTTAGATTATTCCTGAATTTAACTAATACAAGTTTAATTGATTCAATGAATGAACCATCGTAAATTATAATCATATTATGGCGCAACTTCGTGGATTGGTTGAAGTTAGACATTAACACCGTTGGATGCCGGCTCAGTGGTCTAATGGCTAAGTGCTCGCGCGCGAAGCCAGTAGGTCCTGGGTTCGAGCCCCGCGTGGTGCGGGATCGTGGGTGCGCACTGCTGAGGAGTCCCGTACCAGGACGAAACGGCCGTCCAGTGCTCCCAGGTTTTCAATGGTGGTCTAGCTTCAAGTGACTCATGATTTCAACCTGTGATATTATGAATGATTTAAACACATGAGAATCATACCGATTATTTATATAGTAATCAATAAGTATACGAGTAATATAAAACAAAATGACATGGAAACTATGTTCATAAGTTCAGGTAAACAAATATAAAATATTTTGTTTAGCATTTTACCTTAGAAATTAAAAAAAAGTCTTTTATTATAATCGATTATGAAGAATAAACTTATATTATCCGGCGAGATTATAATTTAATGGACGAACCAATCACGTATAGGATAACAGTTCTCGAATTTTGGTGCGAAATTCACTCATTCATTTGAATAAATAGAGTTTTGGCATTACAGTTGATATCAGTTCGTGATGACAATTCTAAATCTAAGCTATAACCTTAACCATCAACTGAAACATATAATCAATATAGGGGTTGTGGAGATTGTTACGTTTTTGATTGAGAACATGAACCGATTGATATTAGACCACCATTGAAAACCTGGAAGCACTGGGTGGCTGTTTCATCCCATTGTGGAACTCAACAATCTCCACAACCCCTATACTGTTAAATACCATGTGCTCGCTAGTGACTAGTTTCGTGAGAAAATTCTCGGAGTTCTGGTGAGAAGCCGTGACCAGTGGAACTAATCCGTGTCGGGTAGAAACAGGTGTCTACCTCAGTACAGGGGAAGATGGTCACGCAATCTTGTGGATTGGTTGATGTTAGACACTATCACCATTGGATGCTGGCTCAATGGTCCAGTAGATTTATCGTTCACGCGCGAGACTGAAGGCCCTGTGTTTGAATCCCAAGAGCGGGATCGTGGGTGCGCACTGTTTAGGAGTCCCAGGTTTTCAATGATGGTCTAACACCAATCGATTCATGATCTCAATGAAACTTATAATTCCGAATCCTTATACAGGTTTATAACGCTCATTTGGTATTGGTTATTAGGGTGGACACACTCAAGGTTAGTCTGGCGTCGCTCATAGGTTGTCGATAAATTACAGTCTCACCATATATATATATATATATATATATATATATATATATATATATATATATATATATATATATATATATATATATATATATATATAAAGAAGTAAAATTATCATTTAATTGACAGTTAGTACAATTTGGTAAGATATATAAAGTAAGTTAGTACATTTCATTAAATGAACTCCTTCACTTATGAATATGATATTAAGGAAAATACAACCTGTGATTTTCTTATTCTATTAACAATAAACGACAATTATTTTAAAGGATAATATTATTTCTCTCTTTTTTTCTAGGTTTTGGTTTTATGTTTTTTTTATAATTATTTTCTCTCAATTTTCTGGGTCATTTAAGGTGAAAAAAATGGGAGAGAAGAGAGAGAGAGAGAAAGAAGAACAGGATACAATATGCATTAAAGAATAAAATGATTTCATTTCGGGTTTAAGGATAAAAAGAAAACACTTACATGGGAAAAAAGTACACAACCAAATATCAAAGTATGATTCTTTGTTTTTTTTTCAAGTGTAGAGTAAAGTTTTAAAATGCGTAACAAAACAATTTAACATGTATGAATGATGTCGACTAAACTAGATTTATAATTATATATATTTATCAGTATGGGGTTGTGGAGATTATTAAGTTTTTGATTGAGGTCAAGAATCGATTGATGTTAGACCACTACTGAAAACCTCGAATCACTGGATGTTCGTTTCGTCCTAGTATGGGACTCCTCAATAGCGAGCATTCACGATCCCGCACATGAGGTTCGAACCCAGGTCCTTCGATCCCATGTAGGAACGCTTAAACTCTAAACCATTGAACTGGTAGGTATCTAATGATGTTAATGTCTAAGGCCAACCAATCAACGAAATTGTGCGACCATCATCGATTGTCTGAAGTGATTAACTACTTCATATCCGATACGGATTGGAATCCACTGGTTATGATTTCCCATTTTCATAACTCAACATTTGAATGAAAGAGTAACTATTATTTCTAACAAATTAAAATGTAAAATCTAAAATGATTTATATAATTTCTAGATAACCTGATATAAACAATATAATTCTGCTTATACAAGGAATGATACTTCGAATTTGGTATTTTTAAATCAGGTTGTAGTTTTATATCTAATATACAAGAAATTAAATTAATTAATCATATAATTTAGTACGATGGATCATAATATCTAATTGATATTTTGACGTTATTTATAGTGAACGAGAACACAAGTGGGGGACAATCGAATGTATTTGTGCACAAAACTACAGAATATCTTAGTAAAATCTGTGAACCGTAAGGTAAATACTTTATATGCAAGATGTCAATCAGTTGTTTCAAACTTCACTGTTCCTTTTTCAAATATCAGACAATCGTCTCAGACTTTATTTTTCTTTTATTTCCACATCATACATCCTCTGTTCTCGTTCTCTTTTCACTGATCTTCTTAACCCTCTGCCTCCAGACATTTCACTTTCGACTGATGATACATACTACTTATATCTGTCGACATCAGTAACACACACCACATATTAACTAAATGATTTTACTTATATCAAGTCAACATTACTGTACACAATAATATATCTATCACTTGACACACAGAAATAGATATCATTTTATTACTGAATTCATAGCATATTTTAATTAAAACTTATGTTTAATTCAATATTTATCAATATCATTCTCATTAATTTACTTCTATCTGTTATTTGTAAATATGGATAGAAATAAAACTATTGTACAGTTTTAGTTAGCTTACTTTTTTATCGATTATAGCTGATCTTCGACCACGTCTACTTGCCAAATCTATTTGTTCATTATCTTGTCCGTCTTGATTATTAATTACGAATTCTGTATTGTTTTCATTTGGTATGTTTGTTGTTGTTGTTGTTGGAGTTGTAGTTATGACTGTTTTAGTAGATAATGATTCTACTTCCCCTGTTCCTGATGATGAAGGTACTGTATCCAATTCTAAACTTTGCCAACTTTCATGTCTTTGTAAATTCTTAACGAAATAACAATAATGATAATAATAATGAAAATAATTTGTAAATACTAATGAATAATCAATTTCCTAGAGTACTTTATTATAAATAAAATGAAGAGGTATTTTTCTACCTTACTTTATGAATTACATTAAAGAGATAGATCTTTATAGTGATGTCATTCTATGATGAACATCATCTTCATACAGTACATGACTTTATTTTGTTTTGGCATTCGTTAATATTTTTAACAAACATACACAGATACGTACAAAAAATGTTACTAATCAGAGTACTTTTATTCATAATTTTCATACATTTACTTCAAAACACATATCAGGACTTAGTAGCTAACTGGATAACGGCTATGTCGTTTGAAGCGAATAGTAATGATTTCGATTCCCGGAGTGAATGTCAACTTTGAGATGTATGTACGTTCAGCAGACGAGTCCCAAATAGGACGAAATGCACGTCGTGAATTTCACTGCTAGCCACTACCATATTAAGTAATATGTATTCAAAATCAAAAAGCAAAAAAGAAATTGTAATAGTTTAGATTATCATTTTGTTGATATTTTTGGATCACATTTTGATCAGTCTTAATCGGGATAATGTGTATTGTGTACAAATTGTATCGATAAAGCCATTATATCACAACGTTCTATCAAATAAGTGGAATGTGGCCAACAATGATTGTTATATTCGAACGAAAAATAAATTACGGGTAACTTCCGAGGACTATTAATGGACTAATATTCTATAAATATTCTTATTTGATAATTATTCAATAATTACGTTATGAGTATTTATATTCCTCTTATTATAAGCTTTATTTTGACCTATATTGTATTATTGTACGATTTATGGTTCTTAAGCTATGTTGAGTTTATTGACTTACTGCCTCCCACGTTCACAGCCACTTTTTGGCTTTACTGTGTACACATGTTATTTTCTATTTTATGGTACGTTGTGGTCTGTCTGGTTGATATATAAACCGAGTATGTTTGAAATAAATGATTCGAATCGATTCATATTGCAGAAGCTGGTATTGTGTTCTGGACTGAAGTGGACGGGCTAGGAGTAAATAGGACCAATTAAGACCCTAGACTGCTCATACCGGTCGAACATCATTGTTTTGGCACAGTGTTAAGATTTTATATGTCATATTTTGATTGGTGGATAAATCACGTGATAAAAGCCGGACATAAAATCATAACAATGATGTCTAAGATGCTAGCTTCATTTTATTTATGACTCTTTAAGTGGAAGTATCTTCATCTTGAAATTGATGTTCAAATCGAAATTCGAACCCCATATTTTCACTTCGAATACTCAATGCATTATCTATTTATTTATTGAGTTAAGATAGTCATTTACGTTTACAATCATTTCATTTAATTTGTAATGGTTTTTTGATATTAGGTTATTAATAACTCTGAAATTCATCAATATCACACTTAAACGTAGTGAATAATCCAACATAATAATAGCCAAAATAAACATCCATCAGTAGTGTTATTGGAAGGTTGTTGATTTAAAGGGAGATCTAAATGATTAAAGTATGTTGCGGCCTCAGTGGTGTACAACTTATATTGCTTATCATAAGAATTCAAAATTCACATATTGTTTATATTTAGTAATATGTACAGGAATTATTAAGACGACAGAATCTAATACAAAACAACAATCTAATACCTACTGGTTTCAGCTGTTATTCAGACACTGTTGTCCTGTGATAACATATTTATCAATAGAAGTACTATATTTTGTAGTTGTATTTATAATGTTTTGTTAGACTACAAAGTGGTCACAGTCACTACAATTGTAATGGATAACAAGTAATTGCATTTTAAGCTAATTATTTTCAGTTACATTCAAATACACCATGTAACATGATTCATTTGATAAAAAGGTATTCTTTTTTATCAATGATATCTATATCAGTTGATTATATAAAACTCTCTTTAGTGAAATATAAAGTTTAAATACTACTTATATTTGAATAATTATCAGATCAAATATTGTTGAAAAGAATTATTGTGATTATAAGCAAAGATGATTAGTGGCTAGCAGTGGAGTCCATGATGTGCGTTTCGTCTTATTCGGGACTCGTCAACTGGATGTACTTACATTTCGGAGTTGATGTTCACTTTGAGACACGAACTCAGTACTATTCGCTTCAAATGTCATCGCGTTATCTACATAGTGACTGAGTCCTTATGGCCACTTGTTTGTATAATGGGGTGAAGTCTAAATTCACTTGGTATTGTTTACTTGAAACATCACATAGAAGTTTAGTACTTCAATTAGTCAATCTCTTATTGACATATCGAAGCAATATTTCACAATATCCACATATACCAATAAGAGACTGATCAGTTTCAATCTTGATCATTAATGTAAAGATTTAAATAAGCAATATCAAGTGGACTGACTTATTGTAATTATTAGAGCGAAAATAATATACCTACCCATTTTATCATATGACAATGAATAAAATACCTATGGTACATTAAGCTTTCCTGGTATCATTCAATTTGAATAAGAAATTATTAATCTGTAACAATCAATGTCACTTTTCATCAATTTCGACAAAATTTAAAATGTTTACATTTCAAGAAAAAAATAAGAAGAAGATTTAAACAAAACGGAACATTTCAATTTTCAATTGTGTTTTGTTGTTTATTTGTGTTATGATACTATTTTTGTTTTGTTTTTGTATCCGCTCTATGATATATGAAATATAACCCATTGATTATGAAGTTAGTTATTTTTTTTGTTTTGTTTCATTATTTGTTATATAATGAAAGGTCGTGGACTTTTCACAAACACATATGAATAGGTAATACAATTATTATTGGCATAATGATCTATTGAAATAAACAACTAGGTCTGTTGTGAGATATCAAATCATTAAAGACAATGGTGTACGGTGGTGTAATTTTGTTGGATGTCGGCCGTTTCAGTGGTCTAATGGTTAAGCGCTTGCGCGCGATGCTGATAAATCCTGGGTTCGAATCTCGCGGAGGCGGGCGGGATCGTGGATGCGCACTGCTGAGGAGTCCCATACTTGGACAAAGCGGCCATCCAGTGCTTTCAGATTTTCTATGGTGATCTAGCTTTAATTGACTCATGAGTTCAACTATTGTAAAGACAAATGACTTATTGAAATATCTGTGTGTCAGGAACAAGTAGCTCAGATATACAAATAAACCGCTAGTTTAGGTAAATAAATTAAAATTTGAAAGTTTTCGATTGTTTTACATCATAAAATCTCTCATTTAATTATCAGTTTTAACTCCAGAAAGGATAACACATTGTATTACTTACAAACATGAATGAATTTCCATACATATAGTTTCCTTTATTATTTATGAACAGGGTAAGAACAAAGTTTCTAATGGAATAGCATGAATTCGTATTATTTTGTTGGTTCTCTGTCAGCTGCTTATCACCTTTGGTATTTAAAAATCATAATTACAAAATGAATTCAAGTTACTTACATGAAAGTGTTTAGTTGAAGACAAAAACCCTGACAACAAGATAAAGAAAGACTCTAAATAGCGCAATCACCAAACATCTATTGGATACACGACATTAGTAACTAGCTAAAATCCAGTTTTCTGAAGGTTGATGAAGTTGTCGCTATCAGGCGTCAAAAACTTGACTTATGTTTTCAAAAGGATATGGTTATTCATCTTTCTTTGCCTTAGTGACAAATATTCCTTCGTTGCATCTTAAACGTTTTTCTTTAAAATTCTTTCTTGCATTTATTACATCATTGAGTTTTTATTTCAACTATCTTCTAGATTAGTAATTTTGTTTTATTAGCTGAGCTTTACTCATTTTATTCCTATCACTGCTTAATCATTGTTTAATCACTTGTTTCTAACTGTTTAAACTGTTTTCACAATCAATGTTGTAGAATATTCTTTCACATTAGGTATAAATTTACAATAGTCGGTGTATTAATTTCACTTACACTCATGATATACTTTACGAATATGTCTTCAGTATAACTTCCAACCAAACCCTCTCATGTAAGCAATTTAAGCCCATTATGTAATTATGATTTTTAAATATCACAGGTTATAAGCAACTGACAGAGAGCCAACGAAATAATATGAATTCATGTCATTCTACTGGAATCTTTGTTCTTGCTCTTTTCATTAATGAATTACTGATAGTTTAATTGATGCTTTGATGAACATAATAAATATTTCTGGATAAGTCATATATTTTTCTATGAAAGAAATATCAGAATTATTTTGATGTTTAGCTACAGATACCAAAATGGAATCAGTTAACCTACAGATTTCATCAGTAAATATAAATAAATTTAATATAATCGACTATTAAGTAGTCTCTTAAGGGAATGAAACAACTATTCAATGTTTCCTAATTTTTAGTAGTTGTTTATTAAACTTTATTATTTATTAATGCATTCTTGTATTAATTGTTTAAATCTTTTCATTGGTGGTTAAGGCTATAATTGCTCAGTCTCATATTGATCTATGTGTATTCTATGCGGATTGACTCAATATTCATCTCTGTTTATTATTTATTGTTGAATAAATTATATTAACTATACAAATTAGTCAAAATTAACTTATATTTGTTTTAATAGTTGAGATCATGAGTCAATTAAAGTTAGACAACCATGGAAAAAACCTAGACTTACTGGACAGTCGTTTCGTCCTACTGTGTGACTCCTCAGAAGTGCGCATCCACGAACCCTCTCGCGAGATTTGAACCCAGAATTTATTAGTCTTGCGCGCGAACGCTTAACCACTAGACTACTGAGCCGGCATCCAATCGTGTTAATCTCTAACTTCAACTGATCCACGGAATTGTAGAGAAAACAATAATATACGACGAAATACAATCTTTACATATCCCCATTCTGGTAATAATCATGTGCTCACTAGTGACTAACTTCAAGATGGATTTATTGGAGTTCTAGTGAGAAGCCGTAACCAATCGAGTTGAATCATGTTGGGTGAAGGCAGTTATCCACTTC